TTGCATCTGGATTTGCATTTCACTTTTAACTAACTTGCGACACAGCTAAACTACGAAATTGGTGCAAGTTGTAAGTATAAACGAGCCTTAAAAAATTAAAAGTTTTGAAAAAAACAGTGGACAAAATATTAACTTCAGAAACTCTGAAACCAGTATAAAACGAAAGGGTTTAATTATGCACAAAGCTGCATTTAAATTTCACTCTTAAATAACTAGCGACATAGTCAAACTACACAACATTGGCGCAAACTGGTAACAAGTAAAGCCTGGCGGAAACTTAAAAATGAAAACTTTTCAGAAAACAATTATCCGCGTGATTTTGCACTTTTTTTTACATAAAGCAAACTGCCATCTGCTACTAACCAACTAAACACAATACATATTATTATTATTTGTTCATCTTCCTTCCATCTCCCCGTAAAAAAAAGATAAAATATCAGAAGGAATTCACGCTACCGTCACACGAAACCAATTTTCCACTCCACTTTCTCCCACTCATTTTGTAATTTGGGGAGTCGAGCTAGCAGATCAGATCAGATAGGGCATCATCATCATCAGAGCAATATGTCACTCGCTGTTGGAAAGAAAAGCAATAAATAATATTAGTGAGCAATATTAGATTCTGTAAATGACCATTGATTCATTCATTCATACGGATGGGTGTACAACACAATTCATTAGTTGTGTTATGAGGTCACGTAATTTCCCAGATCATTTTTCATTACTTGCTCATCTTCCGTACTTCTGGCTGGATTTGGCTGGGGTGGCCAGACCATGTGCATCATATCTTCGCCCACTGCTAGATAGGAAATAATGGATTCACCATTTCCATCCATGTGTTTTTCCGCTTCCTTCCTCATCCTCTAATTCGAACCAACATTTCGTCCGTCCTTTTGTTTTCAACTCATTTTATTTGATCTTTCCCGAGCTGATTGGATAGAAAAGTAGAGAGAAAAGAGAAAGTTTTCGGGTATTCGTTGTTTTTCTCCAATAAAATTAATAACTAATTTCTTCCTCATTTCAACTTTATAAAATTGTAACTTCTTAGAAAATTTATTGCAGCTTGTTTCCTATTTCTTGAATTTTGCATTATGCACAACTCTACTTCCTTCACGACCTAAGGAGAATATTCGTTGTTTTTCGAATTTGTGGACTTGTGCATTTCCTCACTAAAATTAATTACTAATTTCATCTTCATTTCGACTTTCTCTACAAAATTTCAACTTCTCCGAAATTATGAAAGTTATTACATTTCCATTTCTTCCATTTCTTTCATTCTACTTTCTTCACATGACCAGAGGAGAAAGCCTTCCAAGAATAATTTGGTTTTCACGTATCGTTCAAGTTTTGCATGCCGAGAAAGTAGGAAGGAAGGAAGTAGTCGTGGCAGGCAGGACGACGACGACGACGAATGTCATGCCAGAAAAGGGAGGCACATAAGCACATACATAAAAGCGGAGACAAGGGCATAAAAAAACGCACTTACTGTGTTTACTCGCCTATAATATAAGGTCTCTTGTCTACCTTCTCTCTCTCTCTCTCTCTCGCGGACGGGGGTGATTTGATTAAAAATTTTGATTAAACTCTGTTCATTTCAAAAGTAGTAGTGAATACGAGTCCGGACTGGAGTCCGGTTGGTCGTGGGGCTGCTGTTTTCCGTGGCTTAAAACGTAATATCTTATCGTATAAATAAATGGTCCCTTTCTCCACACCCGGAATGACATGGCTGCGCCCAGTGGCCGCGGAAGCTGTGGTCTGGGGACATATGGGGACATTAACATTGTAGGATAGGGGAGGCAGGGGTTTATATAACATGGGCAGATGATGCGGACGTCGAACAACCGTGGGGACATTGCCCCTCTGTCCGCGGCCACTGGCTGTGCCCATTTAGCCTGAGAGTGAGAGTGATTAAAGATTAAATTACCTAGCGGGATGAATGACATGACACACAGCTAAAAAGTCAAAGCCAGGCAACGCATACGTATGTACCTACGACGCAACTTGAAAAGGAAGGAATATGTGTGTAGGGAGCAATTTTAATTATGTGTTTTATGACGTTGTCAACCGTATGAAATTCATGGCGGTACGAGCAGAGGAGGAAAGAAACCAAGTAAAGTATTATTTTAGAAGGGTAAAATGGAGACTGGGATATTTATCATTGTAAAAATGATACCATTTTTTGCGTAATTGGACAACTTTTTTAATTTATGAGTTGATAAGAGTTCAAGGGTTCAAGTAATTTTCGAAGTATTGCATATTGCATAATTTAGTAAACTAGTCATTAGAAATATAATTATTTTTAATAAATTTTTAATAATATTTTTGATAAAACTTTTTAACAAAATCTCAAAATTTCCAAAACATATTTTTAAGTTGTATCGGAGAAAGCATTTCAGTCCGTAATTTTTAAATTTAAACCTGACATTACTACAATATTTAAGGGTCGATGCATGTCCTTGTTATTTTTTTATTTCAAAATTGTTCAAAATTTATTTTTTTAACAAATGGGGATTTAAACAAAATCTCACAATTCCAAAAATGTATCAGAGAAAGCATATGCATAATTACTGAATTTTTAAATTTGAGCATGACATTAAGCCGGTATTCAAGGGTCGATGTCCGTGTCAATTTTTCTCGAAATTTCGAAATTTTTCAAAATTTTTATACTCAACAGTTGACTTGAACACTGCTACATATTCTGTGCTTATAACCTGAACCCTAAAAATCCCCTTGCACACATGAATCCTAAGTAATCCTACCGAAGAAAGACATGGCCTGGAAGAAGAAGGACATGTTTTTTTCCGAAAAAGTCAGCCAGGCAGGCAGAGGGACTAGTGGACGTAGGAAGGAGAAAGACGAGATTGTGCCGTAAAAAGGAGAAAGCAATATAAAAAGCAATAACCATTTGTTCTCCTTCGTCTTCTTTTCCTCTCTCGCGAATCTCGTCCCTCTTCGATCCCTTACTTTCCTTCCTGTCAACCAACTTCCTCTCCTTCCATCCAACCACCAAACATGTCTTGTCTTTCTCCGAAAATAAATCCACTTCGATTCTTCCTCCTCCTTCCATCCTCCACTAAAAACTGTCGCCCATCAAGTCGTCACGCTCAACTCAATATCAAACTCAAACTCGTCGAGAGAGAGACCATTTTCTCTCAGAAAACGGAATCCTTTTTTGTATTCTCTTCTCGTGACTGGTTCATTCGTGATGACAAAAGGCTCGGAAATTTTCTGTATTTATTTAGCTTAGCTACACTGTACTTTAAATTAAGAAAGATCGCATTGTCGTCAGATTATCAGTTATTTTCTTACGTCAGACTTGACTTTTGCTGCTTCTGTTCCCGTAATGATGATCGGGCCGGAAAATCGAGTCATTTTGGGCCAAATTGTCAAGAAAAGAAGGGAAGAAAAAAAAGCGATGACATTTTTTTCTCAAGTCAAGAAAAGTACAATACATTCCCTATTTTTCTCGATTTTCTTCTTCTTCTTGTCCTCGTAATGTCAACTAACTTCGACTCATTTACCTCGGGTCGTTTGTTGGTCTAGAAATAAGTTAAGAAATTTTCTTCTTCTTCTTGAGGTTTTGGTTAAGTTGGAAGTTTGGCAGTTTACGTAATGATAATGGTGATGGTTCGTTTCGTGGTTCGTTGATGACTTCTCCAAGTGTTAATCTAATGGCTGTTCTACTACTAGAAGTCGTGTAGTTTGGCCGACCAGACCAGACCACCCGACTTACTATTTCTACTAACTTCATATTATCAAAGAGGAGGAGCACATTTTGTGGAAAACAGTCCAATAAATACTAAATTGGATTGTCTTTGGCACTTTGAGCTGGAAAACCTTCAAAGTGAAAGAGTTGGGCAATAAAGGAATAAGTCGAGAGTCGATCAGCCAGCCATAGATTGGTGGGTGGAATACAGTGGCCGCGGAAGCCGTGGGGGCATCGGGGGACGGTAACATTGTAGGATGGGGGGAGGGAGGGGTTTATATAAGATGGGGAGATCGAATAACCGTGGGGACATTGTCCCCACCCACGCTTCCGCGGCCACTGACGGAATATCTGCAGTAGGAACCCCCGCACCAAGAAATTATTGGTTTGTTTGTTTTCCACTGTAGTAACAAGTTTATACTCACTTACAAAAGAACAAATAGTAAGAACAAAACCTTGTTTTTTTTGCGGAAAATAAAATAGAAATTCTTGAAATCTTGGGCCGTATTTCGGGATAAATTGTGCAGTAAATTACACCAACATTTTATCAGAATTGCCCATTTTCTTTGCTCGTTTTCTTTCCTGTGTTGTTTACTTTGTTGAAACAAGTTTTTGTGATGGTGGGTGTTTTATTTTATTGTTTTTCATGTGCTTTCTTTTTTCCCTTTCTTTCTTTTTTAGGAGTGACAAATTGAATCTAATTTCTCCCCTTTCGCTCCTTTGGTTTCTGGTTTGGAGATTTCCACGAAGCCATTATTTTTATTTTCCTTCCGAGTTTCAATTCAATTTCGCAGCGTCAGAAGCAAGGATCGGCGATATATTTGGAAATTACGTACACTCGATATAAGCTCTGATGCTCTTTGTCTTTTCTTGAATAATAAATCTTTAATAAATTTCATCCAACCCTAGTTGAAAAAGTCCAATTGTGTCAAGCTCGAATTTATTGGAATGAGGAGACCTTTACGTAAATAAGGTGGACAATAAATACCAGAGTAAAAATTTGGACGGGTTTCCTGCAGAAATTTTGTCTAATTTTCTGCATAAAATCTTTATGCAGAGCAAACTTTGGAGAAACTTATGCTGAATTATGCAAATACAGTTCGGCAAAATTATGCACATATAGTTCTGCAGAATAAAATCCACACAAATTGTATGCAGGATTATGTATAAAAAATCATGCAGAATATATACAATATTATGCATCAAGCTTTTGTCGATTTATTGCATAATTCGACACACTAATTTCTACTCGGGTAGTAGTAATAATTTCCTCATTTTCTCAACTTTATTCCAGGTTTGGAGACAACTGCCGTGGGTCAAGAGGCGTCTGGTAATAAGGATCCTTACTGGTTCTAAAAAGGGGCAATTTACATTACATAATTAGTTAAATACATACATATATTCCCACTGCAGTTACATTACATAATTTGTAGTTAGTTATATTATATTTTAAAATATCTTCTAAGTAAAAAAACCGTCGGCTAGTTTTTGTATCGTATCTGTATCATAATAAATGTGTGAGTTATGTAAAAAGTGGAATAATTTAGAACAGTGAGGTCGTCTTCGTCGTCGTCGTTTCGTCATGATGAGATTTGTTGAGGAGTCGCATCAGCCAGCATGTCAGGATGATGAATGTCACCCGATGAGGAAGAATGTCACGTAAATTCACATCCATTACTCCCTCAGAGAAGAGACCAAGACGACGAGAGTGAAGTCAACATGTCAACAAAAGAAGAAAACCTTTCTTTCTCTTAAAATGAGAAAAGAAGACGAGATGAGACCATCCTCATTTTAGGGGACTCAATTTCTGTCTTTATTTTAGTCTCTCTTTTTCTGGGGGCAGCTCAATTTCTGTAGAAAATCAATCATCATCATCATCCAAAGCTTGGAAAGTTTGAGTTCTTGAGAAAATAGCAAAAGTGAGTGAAACATCAAGAGCTATTTACTTAAGTAATTTAAATTTTGGGTGATTAGGATTCCGTTAAAAAAATACGTATTAGATGAATAACGTTATTTTAAGACTTTTGAAATTAAATGATCAAAATCTGCTTATATTTTCTCTTAATAAAAATATTTAAGTTATTATGCATCTTGTCACTTTCTTCTTTAAGAAAATTATGTATGTAAATAGACAACTTAATGAGAAAGGTTCCTACACAATGAATTTAACGTACATACAACATACACAATAGCAAGATTACAATGTAAATATATAATTGTCGGATATAATAACGTATTTAAGTAATTATTGTGTTCTTGGTAAAAAAAATAGTCACAATTTTCAATATCGCAGTCTTTTTTTATTTTTATGAAAGTCAGTCGAGTGTTTCATTTTTGATGTATTTCCATATACTAAAATCAGTACTTAGGTAGGTTCTGAGTAGCAGTCTTTAAGTACCATAAATTAAATATGTAACACTAAATATAATGCATACATATATTTAGTCTTGGCTGGCACTAACTAACAATTTCGCCACAGAGTACTCGCTAATCAAATCATTCAGCTGATTTACTGAATTTACCGCTGTTAACTAGAGCTAGTCAACCAAATGCCAATAATAAACGTGGTTAATTAATACATACACAACCCTACCGGACAAAGTCATTTTGAACAATAAATTATTAAATGTAGTGTTCCACACACAATTAACTGCATCAAATACTCAAATTAATTAATTCGCCGTAATTTCAGTAATCAATTAATCATGACGTAAAAAACAAGGATGTCGACTCGTTTAAACAAAAAAAGTGAGACAAAATTATATCCAGGAACAAAGTTGAATAATTTGCTACCAGGAAGGGCCATATTTGTCATTTTGAATCATATCTTCATCTCACAAGTCAGAAGAAATCCTCGTCATACTTACAAAGCAGTCCATATTATGCTTGGTGACCCTTCTTCCTCTCCTCCTTCACTTGTCAGTGTCAAATGTCGCTTTTGTGCCTAGATCTTCAAAATCTTCTTAACCCAGCACATAAATAAATACAAGTGAAAATCAGAGAATGATACAAAAAAACTTGGACCGACGTTCCTTTTTTTCATCATCTAATTTAATTTCCAAACATTTTTCGTATTGTTCAACAAAATGTTAATTTGGCTACCGGACTTCAACAAGTTTCAAGTAAGTTCAGATTGATGATCATCGCATTCCCACGGTTTACAGTCAGAGGCCGCGGAAGCGTGTTGGGGGACAGAGGGACAATGTCCCCACGGTTGTTCGACGTCCCCATCATCTGCCCATGTTATATAAACCCCTCCCTCCCCCTATCCTACAATGTTAATGTCCCCACAGCTTCTGCGGCCACGGTTTACAGTGACACGCAGGAATCACCAGAAGATTTCGACTTGCACAAAATTTTGGACTGATTTTCTTCTCATTGTTTCGAAATTTCCAAGTTGTTATACAACATCTCGTAATAATGTGGACGTGAAGTGAACGAGTTGGAAATTCGTAGACAACCATCCGCTCCGAGGCGAAGTTAATGGGCGTATGTGTTTCAGAAGCGAGCAGTTAATGTTGTAAAAGTGGGAATAATATGGGAAGGGAAAGGAAGCTCATAAATGTCGGGGCTTAACAGGGTCATAAATTACTTATTAAGAAAGTTGTGCTTTTCCTCAGACTTCTCATCTTCCAAATTTCATAACACTTCCCTCTCCTCCAACCATATATTATTATCTTCCCATTTAATTCAGCCCGACTACTCTAGAAAATCTAGTAGAACTTTGGGGGCAACCTGAGATTTCTAATTGTTTCACTTCATTCCAATTAATTAAACAAAGACGGATTATTCTCCCTTTAAACAATGAAATGTAAACCCTTCTTTTCTGTATCGATACATCTTTTACGCGTATTTATTCATTTACAATGGACTTGAAAAACATTCAATTGTCGGCATTTTACACAATAACTCATTGAATTTGCTCCTTCATTTCAATCGTATCGTTTAATTAATTAATTAATTAATTTACTGACTGACCCACGGCTCAGAAGAAGGAAAGAATTACTTAGGTTATTGATGTATCAGTTTTTTCTTAGAGGAAGGAAAAGCCGACTCGTAAGTACTAAATATTTAACCGGATGTCTGTCTCTCTGTTCAATTGTAATGTAATAATGACCACAATTTAATGGGACATGGGCCACCCAGATAGAATTATAAACTGGATCTGTTTGCATTGTAACTGCTCCCCTCCATTTATTCATTAGACGAAATAATAAATAAATACGTAGGTACAAAAAGTGGATCTCACCTCGGCTCCATTCCGCTAAATGATATTATGCCCTCGGTTTTCTTTCTCAAACAATAAAATGAAAATGATATCCGGAACATTGGGAAGAATATAAATCTTGGCTAATGAGAGGACGGTCAGCCTTAATCCAAATTCGAGTAACTGATATTTTATAATGTTGGATTAAATGGTTTGGTGAAAGGGATGCAGTTTAATTTATTTTTTTGGAGACGTTTTTAGGAAGTGCGTATGTATGATATGATATGTTTAAGAGTATGATAACTTTCAGGGATGGGCAAAATACTTTGTGAAAATAATACAGTATTTTGAGCTTAGTTCTTCCCAGGGTTTGGATTTCCGGGGGTGTTACACCACAAAAAGACGAAAATCTACGTGGAAAAGGCAACAGTCGTATGAAAATGCAGGTTTTGTGAAGAAATTAACCTGTAAAAATGCATTGCTAAACAATGTGAAAAAAATTGTGAAAATTTCTCAAATTTTTTCAAAATGAAGTATTTCGACACCGATACAAAGTTTATTTCTTCACATAATTTCTTTACACAATTTTGTAAGATTTTATAAGATCATTTTCTTCCAGAGAGCAAAAATAACTAAAGGAATAGGAATAATGTGGTCTTCTCGACTTAGATTTTCGTCTTTTTGTGGGTGTAACAATCCCGGAAATCCACCCCCTGGGAAGAATGGAGCCCAAAGCACTGTATTTTGCCCACCTCTGATAACCTCATCATCCAGTTATGCGCAACATGTGTATATTTAGACAAGTTCTCATGATGATCTATAAACAGATTGATGCATGCGTTCTCCTGGTCATGTTTCATTCTATTTGTATGTCCTTTTTTACCGCATTATGCAAAGTTGGTTAATAAATTGAATCAAATTTATGATATGAAAGTGAGTGATTTATTCATTAATTAAGACTAGACTCGGCTTTATCACACTTTTGATCAGGTAAGTTAAACAAAGTAGGTCGTAAACTGTAAAATAAAAAGTTTTGTGCTTACTTTTTTGTATGTATGAAAGGGATGATGATACTTTACTTACTAAATATTCACTCATTCATTCATTCATTCATTCATTCTTCATTCGTTGGTTTGGTGGGTATATTTTTTTATAAAGATGTACATACATTTAAATCAATATTTAGTTATAATAATTTCAATGATTATTTAAAATTGCATGCATTTATATGTAAATATATTTAATATTGCACAAAAATTCGCAAAAATTTACAAATAACTATTTTATGTACATGATTTACCAACTTTAGAAATTGCCCCCAGCCGCGGTAATATTTGAGTAGTGCGCAGCCGCCGCGGAATAATCGGCAAGGTGAAAGTCGGACCAGGAGCTTTCGTGGTGGGGGTGCGGATGGTAGCGTCCCCCAGCCCCCCAGTGACCACTGTCCCCCTTCACCCCACCTACGGAGGAGGCCCCGATGCCTGGAAATGCCCGGCTCGCCGATGCTGCCGAAGCGGCCGAGGGGAATAGAAAACTACTGTATTGGGCAGGATTGAACCTTCAAAATTTCACAAAAATTACAAAATTTAACTAAAATTTCTCAAAATTTCTCAAAATTTCGTAAAAATTCATTTTTTACCTTGAGCTTGAAGGCATCGCTGGATAAGCCGCGGCCGCCGCTAAATCCCGGTGATGGTGGTGATAACTTTGGTGGTGGTGGTGATGATGGTGATGCGGGGCTAGTGGGTAGTGCCAAGGGTCACTTTGCGGGTGATGATGCAACCCGGGTACTGGAAGTCCGTTGGTGTAATCCATAGACGCAGCAGCACTCCCGTAAAAGTCGGTGTGTCCATAGCTCGACAAAGGGGGGCGGGATGACGTCGAGGGGACGGGAGGAGGTTGATAAGCAGAGTCCCAAAATGACGGGGGAAAGTTTCTCGTGGACATGGGCAGATCTGGAGAATGAAAAAATGGACAAAATTTTAAAACTGTGTATCAGTACGTATACCTTAAAAACCCAGAGTTTGGCCCGAGTCAGGTTGTTATTAATAAATTGAGATGTGCATAATACGACCACTACAACTTTTTTATTTCCACAAATTTTGCTCATCTTCCAACTTGATTCGTAATTTTACATATTTTACGTGTGTTAAAAATTTCAAGTTGATTGGACCAGTTTTACGAGCATAATCGATAGACAGACAGACACACAACCATTCCGGGTACATAAGCCCTGCTAAACCCAGGCTACAAAATCGAGCTTAATAACGCAAGAAAAGGGTTACGTCTGTCCCTGTTGAAAAAAAAATCTTAAAAATGTGTGGAATCTTTTACAATATATTTATTGATATTAGAGAAACAAAAGAGGAATGGCCCCTGCTGCGAGAAGGGGGTGGGTCCTTGTTATAAATCCATTAACTCCAATTTCTCCTCAGCTTCCAAGGTACGGCAGAGAGACTTGAGATTTATGAGGTAGTCCTTTTACTTTTTTTTACGATTTTACACATTTTTACGCCTTTGTTCAACGAGTATTTTATTTGGGGTGAAAATGTCTCTTGTGAAATGTGAGTAAGCCACGGCCACGAGACACATATTTCACATGGCATGCAATTCAGTGGCCGCGGAAGCGTAAATGTGGACAAAAGAGGGACAATGTCCGCACGGTTGTTTGATGTCCCCATCATCTGCCCATCGTATATAATCCCCTCCCTCCCCTCATCCTACAATGTTAATGTCCCCAGATGTCCCCACAGCTTCCGCGGCCACTGACATGCATGATGACCCTAACTTTTACTAAAGTACAAATATACGCATTATACATATTTATCTCCAAAAAAACGAGCCATTCCAAATTTCTGGATTCATTTAAAGGTAAAAACTTATCCCTTATTGTTTCGTGGCTTTCTAGATACCAATACGGGAGTCGTCCGTTATGTACAAAGTAGGAACACGTATGTACACGTTTACCGACTACAAGGCAAAAAGATGAGATTCGAGATTGATAAGAACCCTGAAAACAACAAGATGACAGACTGAGCATCTTTACAGCTTCTATATCGACCACATGCGGCCCTGTCGCCTGTCTGCACCATGTCTCGTCCCTACACTACATTTTGGGTGCAAGAATACGTAATAATTTCTCGAAAAATTTGAGAAAGGTGTCCAAATTCTGAGATTACGGGGAAAAGTAAAATGTCCTGTTTGGCAATAATACGCATTTTTCTGCGTCGAAATTCAAAATTCTGAGATTACGGAGAAAAGTAAATCTTCTGTTTTGCAAATAATACGCCTTTACGTGTTTATTCGAAATTTGAAATTCTGAGATTACAGAGAAAGCTAAAATCTTCTATTTTGCAATAATACACATTTTTACGTGTTTATGTATTCAAAATCCTACAATTTCCCAACAATCAATACCATTAACACCATCACCGTCACCACCACTCCGACACCAAAAGTAAACTCGTAAGGACAAACGATGACAGAAATTAACACTGCCAACCACTAGAAAAAGCAACATTATTACATGCACACACTTCCACCGAATCCCATTAGATTTAGCCATTAGCTTATAGCTTAGCCATCACCCGGTAAAGTAAACGGGGGAGGCAGAAGCCAAAAACTTTCAAATTTCTTCCACTACACACTATTCAAATGTACATAAGTACGAGTAGTAAATACGATGGGGACGTATAAGTGGGGACATTAGTGATCCCATCCATTTCATTCTAATGGCTCGTTTACCAGGATTTATTTCCTATAAAAATTATCCAACTATTTTTCCACCACGTCACCCAACCAAGTCCCATTTCCACACAAGAATTCCAAACCTACAAATCTACCACGGATGGACAACTTCCTCCCTATAAAATATTGCCGGGTAAGAAAGTGTCAGGCAAAACAGGATGAAGAAGTTCAGTTCGAGAAGAAAACCATTCAAAATTCGAAACCCAATAATGAGTTAACTTTGTCGTTAAATCACTCCGATTTTCGTTCGTCGCGATCGGCCTCCTTGTCATCTAAAAGGTCGCATTACTCGTATAATAGCTAAAAGATAACGATAAGGAGAAGATGATGTGGATCGAAATTATTTCGAATTTCACGTTACCATCTGATGACAGAGGAGAGGAAACAGTGGCCGCGGAAGCTCGGAGGCACATTAACATTGTGGGATAGGGGAGGGCCGGGTTTGTATAAGATGGGGAGATGATGCGGACATCGAACAACCGTGGGGGCATTGTCCCCTCAAGCTTCCGCGGCCACTGGAGAGGAAGTGAGAGGCCTGCGACTGAAGGCCAATTTCCCAACGCGGAAGGAAGAAGAAGAAGGAAACACCGAAAAAGGCTTAGTGATTCATGCACACGATTTATGTATCTCTTTTTCCCTGCACATCTGCAGCCCAGATTTACGACTGGATTATCTATGTAAGATGAAATTATCCCCGGTTAACGTGTTAAAAGGCTCCACTTGTGTAAAGCTGGTAATAATGAGGTGTATTCATTGACATGCTCAATAAGGTTCAAAAGAAGAGTTTAAGGTCCTTCCGTCCGGAAGGGTAGAGGAAAATTCTGTGTGAATATATCACAAAATATGAGACAAATATCTAAATTTTCTTACTTTTCCCACCACTTCCACTCTTCTCGGCGAGTCCACTCCCACCATTCGAGCCATACGCCACGCTTAACGCTTTGCTAAAATGCTCATCCACTTCTCGAGCCGAGTCGCCCACATAGTTTTCGTACACGATGCAATTCGCCGACAAATACTGGGCCCTGGATGACGACGAGGACGACGGTGTCGCAGATGAAGTCGTCGCCCCTTGAGCGTGACCCTGCTGCGTATTTTGGTGTCGAGTATGCTGACTAGTCGAGGATGACGCCAATGACGCGGATGTGATCGTGTGGGGCAAATCGAGATCGGAGGACCTTGAAGACGTAGATTCTTCATGGTGCTGTTGCTGCTGCTGCTGCTGGTCTTGCTGCTGATCCGCCGACGTGACGGTGGCGCACGGCGTGAGTGACCGTCTCGAATGGGAACTGGACGAACTCCGCTGGGACGTGGGGGACGTTTCGTGCGGCGACAGGGGCAGTTGATGGTGCTGGTGGTGCTGGAGCTGTTGATTTTGATTTTGATGACCCAGACTCAGATGAGGGTGGTGATTGAGGTGGTGGTGGTGTGAGTGGTGGTAGTTGAAGGGTCCAGTCGAAGGTCCAGATCCACCCGGAGGAATCAGCGGAAGGGTGAAGTTGGCAGGGGCGTAAGTGCTCGAGGAGGAGGGCGAACCTCCCGCCGAGCTGGCGGAAGAATCTGGAGGCGATTCTGGGTGAATCTGCGGGGGGAATTTGAAGACCTTTTGCTGTAATCAAAGCATAAAAACAATTCAAAATTTACATAAAATTGTGAGAATTGCAACATGACACGTTTCAGTCGGATTCGGATAAACGTTACGCAAGACCTTTTGCTGAAATCATAAAAATTGCATATAGTGAGAACAATTATCTATCACATGACACGTTTCAGTCGGATTCAGATGAACGTTACGCAATCGGCTGGCTGGGTCGTGTGTGACACTAAAATTCGCATTTTTACTCAAAGGAGAAAGAATTCTAGGAATTTGTCAAACTTGTTTTATTGGGTCATTTCACTCCAGCCGTGTTATTTCGCTGGAGTGCTAGCTAGCTTTCTACAATGTTCGTACGTTACGTATGCTACACTCAAAAAGAGAGAATGAAACATCCATTATTGCTCTGCTGCCGATCAGGGGATGACTAAATTCCTTTCGGTAGTGATACTGCTGAAAAGGCACATTCCAGAAACATTATTACACTGCATTTCCAACATTTTGTTGAATGAAACCCAACTAAAGTGCATTCTGGAATGTGTGTAATACGCGGCGTGTATATAAAACGCAGCGTTTCAACTTTGCATTCAAATCAATTTCGCCAATTTATATGGGCCAAATTCTTACAAATGAATCATCTCCGGTCTTGACCTGGATGCAAAAATGGTCGGATTGCAAATTAATATATAATATGCAAATATTTTCAATTGATTGCAAAACCAATATTAATTAATTGTAATTCCAATTTTTGCAGGAATCATGCCTAGTTTGCTAATTATGTAATTACAATAGCTGATTAGCAAAATAACCTGAATTAGAGAAATTATTTTCTTACTAAATAAGATGCCACTGCCAATAATTGATCGATTATTTATGTCTACATTATCTACATCAATGTCACCAACTGTGACATTTTTTGGCATAAAATTGTGTCCCAATGTCATGTCGCTCCTCTTCACAACAATGCCAACACAGTCACATTGTCACATTTCGTCGTGACATCTTTTTCCATTATCTTGCAACACATACTCGATCGATAACATACGCAATCTAGATAAATAATTCGATAACCCACAGCATAACATTTTGCCATCCACACAATGTGACATCTCAACATTTTAATTAGTCCTTAATTTATGCCAGTGTGTAATTGAGGTAGCCGAAATTAGCCGTAATTTTAAACGTGACTGGAATATTAAGCTAAAGTAGTCAGTAGTAGTAATGACGCCATAATAATTATTACCCTTTCAGCCGCCGAGGTGGTCCTGTCGCATGAAGACGAGGAAGAATAGGACATCGCGTATGGCTGATACATTAGTGTGCAGCTCATTTTAAATCACGAATCACACATTAAAACTTTTTTTGGGAGGTTAGAATTCGTTACGTTTAACGAATTATTTTTTTAAGATGAAATCTGGTAGAATTTTTTCCATAAATGTTCAAAATTTCTGCCTGCATAATAGCGTTTAACAAATACCACGTGATTCTGGTCTTAATTTACATAAAGTCAATCTCTTCTTAAAACAATTGAACTTTCACCCCAACCATAAATCCCTTATGTATGTAAGTAAATGCACTTGTAAATCTCCCCAAATCCATTCCACCACCCTTTACGTCACTCTTACGCAAAACATTATTTGTACACTTTGACACTTTCTTCACAATAAAACAATCTTTTCTTTCGAACTCACTAACTCACTTGGATTATTGTTCTTCGCCCCTTTTAAAGCGTTGATGTTACAAATGCTTTGTACGTAAAATAAGTTTTCAGCTCGGAATTATGTTAACACGTGAAAGAAAGGGTTGAATCTTACGATGTTTTGGAAAGGTTTAAGAAGTGTCGTTCTCGTTCTCGTCGTCACTTTGTAACGGAGAGAAAAGCGATACAAGATAAGTTATTATGTGACTTCTTTTTCGTCTCTCTTTTTGGCTCTGACTCTTCTTCTCTCGTAAAAGACAACTCTGCGACTGACTTGTTACTTCTTTGGTGGTGGTATGGATGGTCGTAGGTAACCCTTCTTCTTACCACCAGTCCGTACCGTACTTTACTTGCTTACATACAAAGGGATCGTAAGAAGAAGAGAGCTCGTGTACGTAACCCAGCCAAGAAAGAAGAAGTTTTGTGGATTGGATTTGGATTGGATTGGAGGATGGGTCGAGATTTCAGGAAGATTTTCAATTCAACTACGAAATGTATTGTGTGAACAGAGAGCTATGTATGAAATGAAATGAAAGAAGATTGTCTTGGCAGGCTGGCAGGCTGTACAAAAAAATTGGAGGTGCTTCTCTTCTATTGGGTGTACTGTTGTGCCAAGGTAGATTCTTATATTTACGAGCAAAGGTAAAGTGTGAATGTACCGTAGAACGTTAATAAATATTTATATTTCCAGTTTATTTTTCCTCGATTTTTTATATTTTAATGAGGAAAATTTGGAAAAATTTTCAGAATTTCTTCCTACAAATTAAATACTCTATGCAAAAACATGCCTGTTCAGGTGAGCAGTGCAGAAAAATCCGTGAATACGTCGAAAAGGTGAGTTTTTACTTTTAACGGAGGCTGTGCATGTGAATCGCTTGGTTTTATTACGTATTTTGCTTACGGGGAAAGTCGTGGAAAGGGTTGTGGAGTGGATTGGGATTGAACGTGCAGCATAATAGGATGGGAATGAATTTAAGGCGGAGTTGTGTTCATGTGGGCTGCCACTAATAGTCCCCCAACGCTCCAAGCTTGTTGCTATGTAATGTATATGCTCCTTCATCATCCGTCCGTGTACACAATACAAATCCTGCCTGCCCGATAATACCCGGGTAAAATGTCGTAGTATTGTTTTATTGACTGAAACTGAGCAGAGCAAGAGAGCAGCTTGGTGAAAAAAAATTGATCCCGAAAACAACGACGACGAATTTTTTCAATTTTTTTTCTCTCTACAAACTATTTCACTTCATAGTATACAAGATATTTGATAATAATATTCGTGTGCCCATGCAAAGTCTGAGAGATCAAACTATGATTACAGACTTGGTTGGTTGGCTTGGCTGGCTGACAGAATCTGGAGAAAATTCCGGAGAAAAAATCTCATAAACTTCCCTCTTTTCTTTTGCCTTCCAATAAATTGAGCTCCCCTTTTCTCGAGTCTCGACGATGGTTTAGCTTGAGAGAGAGATGCTTTTCAGTTCACTAGACTATGGAATATCAAAGTATTGATCGCCTTTTATTATTATTCTGTGGGCATTATTTGGCTGGAGGAAGAGGAGCTGGCTGGCTTTGCATCCATGGACTAATCTGCGGTCATATCGCAACTATATTAAATTATCTTGATGGCTTGGTTTGTGTTTTGCTGAGGGAAATTCAGGCTCGGGCTCTTGAGAAAGATGAGAGAGTTTCTGGTCTAGGAGAAGGAAGATGGGGGGTGTTTGTTACATAATGGCCAGTATTTCGGTGGAAGAATGGAATGGTGGATGGAGGATGATAATATTAGGTGGATCCGAACCATGGAGAAGAGCGATAAAATCCCCGAATCGAAGCAAGCAAGGAGGGAGAGGAGATGATACAGTATCACATTTTAACAATTTTCCCCCCGAAAACCGAAATGGATAATGGGAAGGAAGGAGCAGATTTACTAGCGAAATTATCAAGATTAACCATAAAGGATGCATTCTAAAATATATAAATATAATTCTCACTCTAAACCATATTCAAATTACTGTAGCGTAAAAAAGTGACTTGATTGCAAGATACAGAAATATAACAATTACACACAAGAAAATTACAGAGGGGAAACTGCTATCAAAATTATCACGGCTAACCATACACGGTCCATTTTAAGTACAATTTTCACTTGTTATTTTTATTTTGGCGTTTAAATCATACGAAATTGGATAATTTGAACGCCAAAATAAAATAAATTGGTGTCAAATAATAAAATAATTCGGCTAATGTAGGTACTCCATGTGATGAACTCACGTAATGTGAAACGGAGTTTACATATTACAATTATTGTAGCATACAAATTAGTAGCTTGATTACAGTATAAATAGCTAGAAAATACAGACAGAAAATTATACCGGTGAAGATGAGCATGAAATATTTCCAAAATTTTGTCTTTTATCAGTTTTATCGTATCGAAATAAGTATTTCACTACAAAAGTTGGATTTTCAATAAAATTATTTAGCTTCATGGTTTCCTAAAGAGGGAAATGTTTTAAAATTAAAATGGTAAAAGTTATATTCTCCCAGTTATTTAATTCCGAGCAGGAATATGTACGAACTTGGTCTGAACGAAGTCCATTATGAAAACCACAACCGAGAATGAACCAAGCCATCCTACTTTTTAATAGGGTACGTATGTACATACGTAAATACGTTTTAATATTCATGGTGCTTTCCCTTGATGCGGTTTTATAACTAACTCGCCCGTTCTGCTTTCACCTCGCTGAATACAATATTACCAAACTTTATAAACATCTATACTTTCCTTCAAGTCCGAAATGCCCGGAACAATGCCCGCTTATTTTTCGATAACTTTTTTAAAAAGAAATATTGCACAATACTGACAACAAGAACACATTTCGAAAATTCACCTCGTTGAATGCATACATATTATGAAAGTTTATGAACATTTATAAATCCGAAATTCCCGAAACAATGCCTGCCTGCTTTTTGATAACTTTAAAAAAAATGATTATTGCATACAAAAAAATACAGTTCGAAAACTGAGATTATTACGAACTTTTCTTGATTAGAGAACTTCCCGTTATCTCGCTGAATACATATCGTCGCTGTAGATCCATAACCTGCCAAGTTGAAAACCAGTTGGAAGCATAAAATGCCAAGTTGAAAACCAGTTGGAACCATAACCTGCCAAGTCTGTTTTGGGGTGTATTGCGATTTTAGTCTATAAAAATTTGGCATTTAGCTAGCTATAAAATGGCTTTTTCAAAAAAATTATTGACCACCTAGTTCCGGAGATATTAAAGTTCAAAAACTGATAAAATTTATAAGATTTGGCTTTCTCTTGCTCGAAAAACTCGTGGAAAGATGGCTAATCTATGCGATCTAGGAACTGTTTAATTTTGAATGCAAATTTAAATTTCATCCAAACAATTTCAAATTTGGCATGAACATGCATAAATATATTGTTAATCATAACATGGCACCAATTCCCGCTCCGATCGCTATAAATTTTTCAGGAAAAATCAAAAACCGTAAAAAATTTGGTTTTATATTTTTCCTGAAAAATTTATAGCGATCGAAACGGGAATTGATGCCATGTTATGATTGACAATATATTTATGCATGTTCATGCCAAATTTGAAATTGTTTGGATGAAATTTAAATTTACATTCAACATTAAACAGTGAAAAAATCAATTACTGCGATTCCTTCAACCAACAATCATGTGGTTCGGGTTTTTACTCTCCTGAAAAATCACGAAAACAGACTTGGCAGGTTATGGTTCCAACTGGTTTTCAACTTGGCATTTTATGCTTCCAACTGGTTTTCAACTTGGCAGGTTATGGATCTACAGCGACGATATTATGAAACTTTATGAACATCATAAATCCGAAATTCCCGAAACAACAATGCCCACCGATTTTTTGATAACCTTTTTTTAAAGATTATTGCACAATACAAAAACAACACTTTTCAAAAACTAAGATTACACTCACAACTAACTTTTCTTGATTAGAGAACCACCCGTTATCGCCCAATTTTTTTAGTACTGCTAAATACCCGTAGTCACGAACCCACCCAACGAAACGACGCATATCATGTTAATAAGATATCGTATTTCCAAAATGGTCTATAAAATTGCACCTCGTCCACAAAACTTCGTGATTGGCTCTGCAAGTGCAAAGTTATTAAAATTTACAACTCTCCCACCAATAGAAACCTTCCTAGTTTTAGCAATATTAGGGTTGGCGTAAGGGTTCTTTCACTCACTGCTAAAATTTCGATGTCAGCCACCCAGTCGGATATCTGTACGTAATAATTCATTCAAACGCAGAAACGAAACTGTGCTGTATTCGTAATTCGCATGTGCAAAATTTTTGGTACAGAATTATTTTCAAACGAGTTAAGGAAGTCGTTTAGATTTATATTTAGACAAGAAGTACGAGTCCTATAATACCACCTTTGAGAAATTCTTTCATTTTTGCACCAGGTAAACTTTGTTTTCTTCTGTGCTGCTACTTGATTTGCACGTCTCACGTATTTACAATGGAGGTCTCCCAGCGTATGCTCTCTTATTTTGAGCAAACTGGTGTCAATTGATTCGCAAATTTGATTAGTACGAAATTTGCGAAAGACACGATCTCACAATGGGCACGTTTGGCAGAGATATTTGCATCCGAAGAGGAGAAAATCTTCAGTAAATTTGACAAGTGTAAAATTTGTCGACTTTAGGGCACGTTTTTTCCTCTTCGGATGCAAATATCTCTGCCAATCGTGCCCATTGGGAAATCGTGTCTTTCACAAATTTCATCCTAATTAAATTTGCCATCGATTCACACTAGTTTGCTCAAATTCGGACAGCATACGCTGGGAGACCTCCATTCTCACTAAATACTTTTGAAATATTACCCCATGCCCTTGAGCGTGTTCACCGACGGTATCAAATAACAAAAAGTTGCAAATTCACAAAAATTTATGAGATTTAACAAACTTTTAAATGGTTTTTGTTAATTTACTGCTTTGCATTTATTAATTAGTGAAGAACCAACAGTGGAAGAAATCAAATTAATGTTCATTCTTCTCTTATTAAGGAGGATTATTCACACGGAAAAATCCGAAATTCGCCAAGTTAACGATAACCCCACACAAAAAATAATTGGTGGATGCCCCCTCCCAGAAGATCTTATTATTTAGCATCACTCTTGTGACTGAGTTGGAATTAATCGGATAATTCAGAATCCAGAAGCAAAGAGACCTCCCAGTGAAAACTTGTTCCTTTATTACTCACCAACACGCAAGATTACATCTCACCATCACCCACTAACTATGTTCAATTGTTACCACCAAGTTAGTCAGTCAGTAACTAAAAAGCCATGCCGACCTCATGCTTCAACTCGACTCACAAGATTTAAAGAGGCAACATAAAAATAAATATCAAATCTAGAAATCAATCCCATTAGTTTAACTAACAAAACAAACGCGGAGCTGGAGAAAAGCTGAGATGAGATGAAATCTGGGCAAGATCGCATCGTCAAATAAGTCAGATTCGTATCAAGAAAGTGATAAAACTCTGATTTTTTTAGAGAGAGGAAAAAAATCTTGGAAATTTCAGAAATCTCATTTTTCCCAAAATGTTGTTACAGTGTTGTGCTATGGTTTGATTTTTAAAATAAGAGATTTTTTATATGCAAAGATTATGGCGTGATTATTCTTATTTCAAAATCAAACTATAGCATAACGTCGTAACAAAATTTTAAAGAAAGTGAGATTTCAGAAATTCTCAATTTTTTTTAATTCGAGACTTTTTTACAAGCTTATCGCGGGTAGTCTTTTATTAAAAAATCATACCATAGCTCATCAAGAAAGTGATAAAACTCTGATTTTTTCCAAGCAAGAGAAACGAAATCATTAAAATTTCAGAAATCTCACTTTCCCCAAAATCTCTTTATGCATGCAACTAAACCTTTCATCGACACCTTCTGCTCCCCAGATAATTTTGGATCTTCTTAAGAAATTAACATTTGGCACCGTCTTCCATCCATACATATTCCACTTTTAGGAGGAGCCCTTTATTATTAGCATAAACCTGTCACCAGTTTCAAATCCTGATTTGCGAACGGAAGAGCAGATGAGGCGAGTGAAAAGTTCCAAGTATGAAATTAAGCCCAATTATCTCCAAGTGGAATTTAGAGAGGATGAACAATTCAGCCGAGAAATGGCATTCAACTATTTAACACCAGACTCGAGTTGCAAATACTTTGCATTTCTTGAGATTTGGAATCTCACACTTGGATGATCTCTCCTTGATCCGTGGATTTGGATTCGTGTCTCTCTCTCCACTTGGAGAAATATTTTGTAGTAAATTGAGATTTTTACAATCAACTCGTACAAAAATTAAGTCAAAGCGAATCATTATAGTAACAACTTTAGTTCGAGATGATCTCCTAAACCACGTGACTTTTCTGAGTGCGTCAGTGGCCGCGGAAGCTGTGGGGACATCGGGGGACATAAAAATTGTAGGATGAGGGGTTTGTATGAGATGGAGAGATGATGCGGACATCGAACAACCGTGGGGACATCGTCCCTCTGTCCTAACGCTTCCGCCGCCACTGCATAATATACATACATTTGAGTAGCCTGAATTCTCCCAGTGGCCGCAGAAGCTGTGGGGACATTAACATTGTAGGATAGGGGAGGGAGTGGTTTAAATAACATGGGCAGATGATGCGGACATCGAACAACCGTGGGGACATTGTCCCTATTTTGTCCCCACGCTTCCGCGGCCACTAGACTCTTGACTGACATTAGTTGGATAGTTAAGCCGAGAAGTCAAGGAAGTGAAGAAATCCCTTGAGAGACAGGGCAGCACATCACAGAAATAAACTATTTTAAAAAGTGTCACTTCGTAATTCCAACAATTTTAAGGCAACAGCTGGGAATCCAATTGTCAAATTTAAACCCACTTTCAAAAGTGTTTATTGCATTGTTATTTTCCACCCATGAGAGACTCGAGTATATAACTTTTCGTGTTTGGGTTCATTAAAAGCGACCGAACCGACCACAACATTTAATTTAATTTAATATCGTTGAACTTCAAGACAAGTCTCACCTGGTGGCTGGCCTAAATTCCAACGCATGAAAATTATGTGGATGATAAAATGACAAGAAAATGTGGTTTTTGAAGTTTCCAGTGTTTCGGAAGTGTGATTATTATTATGGTCGTGTCACCAGTGGCCGCGGAAGCGTAGGACAATGTCCCCACGGTTGTTCGATGTCCCCATCATTCCCCCATCTTATATAAACCCCTCCCTCTCCCCATCCTACAATGTTAATGTCCCCAGATGTCCCCACAGCTTCCGCGGTCACTGATGGTCGTGTCAGTTAAATATGGTCCGTGGTGGTGGCAATGATGGCGATGATGGTGCGTGGCGTGTCGTCATTCGTGGCGTGGCGGTGATGATCTTTAAACAACTCTCGACTTTACTACCGAATTTAATAGTTTTAATTACACGCTTCTCATCTCTAAATTTTATGGCTTTCACGACTTTTCTCTGTTGCGCAGGCAGTGCATGTTCGTCTCATTTCATTTCATTGAAGTAAGTAGGTACTGTATTTTAAGAGTAAGTAAATTGAAGCGAGGAACGATTTTTTTTCGTATTAACCAGACAATAAATCGGTACATGACCAGACCAGCGTTCAAGATGAGCAGCCATGACCTCATCCACTTTTCAAGTCAAAAATAACGAAAATTTGAGGTTCCCATTAATCCACCACGCATCTAAATTTTTTATTAATTAATTTATATTTTATCTAATTTTAATTATTGGATGCGAACTTATGCATATTTAATTTAATTGCCTAAATCATTTTTCACCTTTGTTTTAAATTCTTTAAAAACTTAGAAAAGTGATGTATTTCTTTAAAAACTAGCCAAAACAAGAACAGATAAAATATTGATACTTGCGAAAACCTATAAATATGCAATGACAACAATTAGCGAGTTAGCAAAATAAATGGCGTCATCAAATGAAAAATTCGAAAATAAAAAAATTACAAGTTTGAAAATTTGAAAATTTCTTAAAACTTTACCCTACACATCCATATTGCGTGTTATCAAAAATACTATGCCTGCCTGAGTGATACCTAGTAAAAACACTCAAAATGATGTATTAACCACTAAAGAAGTCTGTAATAGTCACCAATTTCTCAGACAAGTGAACCTCCAACGAACATACATATTCTTCCTTCAAATACTACCAAGACATTGCGATGAACTGCGTAAACGTCCAAATCACAGAGATAAATTTTCTGTCAAAACGTAACATTCCTTACATAAAAGTACCATTTGTCCTCCTTTCCTCTCCGTGTTGCAAGAATCAACTCTCTTGTCACAAGGCTAACACTTTCCTGATAAATTGCGCTTTCAACGCGTGACAGCTTATTCGAATTTTTCGAAAAAATTTAAATTTTATGTGTAATCATGAAGTAGTCTGCTATCATGTACGCGACGACTCTATTTTCTTGTTCGATGTGTGTGTTCTGTTTTTTTAGAAAAAAAATATTACGACGAGAGGTTGGAGGTGTTGGTAATGTAACGAAACGCCTTTGTTCACTTGGGAAAGCCAATGATTAGTTGCGAAATGTGTGGACGTGGAAAAAGTGTTGTTAGAAAGGGAAAAAAAGGATTGTTGGTCGATCCTCCCTTTTATTTACAAACTTAAAAAATATGAGTAAATTGACGACTTAAAACCCAGAGTGAAGCGTTATTTAGCCCGAGTCAGGGTGTTATTAAGAATTGAGGTGGGTTTATATGACCACGAAAACTTTTTCATTTTTCGACATATTTTGCTCATCTTATAACCATACTCGTAATTTTGCATGTTCTATTTATGTGCAAAATTTTAAGTGGATTGGACAAGTTTTAAGAGCGTAAGCGATAGACAGACAGACAGACAACTATGACGCCTACATAAGTCCTCGGTCAGGCTAAAAAAGTGTAGATTTCAAAATTTTGTGTAATTTTACATTCATTTTTTGTGCAATTTTTTTATCTAAACGTGTCTGCATTTTCAACAGATCACGTAAAAATGTGAAACTTACTTTTATCAGTTAACACTCATTTTTTGGACGGAATGGAAGTGTGCCAATCTTCAAGTTATTTAATTCTCTATCAATCCACCCCCTCCGTCCGTATAAGTATAATTTAGACGTTTGAGAAAAAAAGTAGGAATTTGGAACTCGAAATTCTTCAAGTTGCTTAAACCCGTCTTCAAACAAAGTGAAAAGAAAGACGATGAGCTTAAAATGCACCAAAAAAGGTTCCACTTTTTCAGGTTTCCTTTTTAGAATAATTCGCATTCCAAGACAAATCCATCCATCCAATCCACCGAAAACGACGAAGAGGACTTTTGTTGTCTCGTCTGGTCTGGTGTGTATGTTTCCCGTCTCGAAAGTCAGTATTTTGAGCTCTTCTACTGCTATTTTGCAGGGGTGGGCAAAATACTTTGCCAAAATAGAGTATATTTTAAGTTCCGTTCTTCCCAGGGTTTGGTTTTCCGGGGATGTTACACCCACAAAAAGACGAAAATCTACGTGGAGAATACAGCAGTCATATGAAAATACGGGTTTTCTGTAGAAATTAACTTTACATAGCTGTCAAAATACTTTAAAAAATCCTGAAAACAATGTATTTTAACTCCGATAAAAGCTAATTTCTTCAGAAAACCTACATTTTCGCAAGAGTATTGCCTTCTCCACGTAGATTTCCGTCTTTTTGTGTGTGTAACACCCCCGGAAATCCAAACCCTGGGAAGAACAGAGCTCAAAATACTGTAGTCTCACCCAATATTTTGCCCACCCCTGCTATTTTGCACGTTTGAGACGATTCTCCGCCTGCATAAAGAGTACTTAGCATTGAAGCCTTTTCTTGTTGAAAGGCATTGTAGATATTTTTTAGACGAGGAATTTAAAAGTTTGCGCATCCTTCGTTCCCTTCCCTTTGCTCTCTTTGTAAAGGTTTCGAACCATCAAAATTCAAATTATGTGAAGAATGCCTTTATTCTTCTTTTCCAAAATAGGATCAAAATAACAATGCTTGATGAAGATGAAGTGAGGAGTGTGGTGATGAATAAGTGCATAATTTGCATGAGCACAACTCACTCAATTGAATACCATTTTGTTAGAGGAGAACAAAGGCATTCCATTTCGCATTCTGAATTCGAATAAGATTTAATTGTTGAGTGAAGTTGGGAAAGTGAAATTCATTTAATTGATGATATGTACGTTTGATAAGGTTATTGCATTATTGTGTATGAGGGCGGAAGTGATTTTATTTTGCGTAATGAACTAATATGTATGCATATGAATTGATAGTGTTCAAATTTTGGTAAAAAATGCATGCAAAAATTTATTTTCACAATTGGTAACAAATTATTTAATTTATTCACTTCAAGAAATTATACCAAATTTCAAGGTGTAACTCATGCAGTGCAAATTTTTTTATTACATGACCTCCCCACGAGCAGTTCTAATGACCGCCATATTAAACTGAACATCATGGAAGTCCGCCACATTTCCACCTTTATCAGGATGATGCTGCAAACACATTGCTCGAAATTTCCTATTAATTTCATCATTTGGAGCTCGATGACTCACACTAAAAAAGTTGTATGCTTTCTCCACCGCTTCTTTTACTGGAAGATCAAACAAGTTTCGAGTTAATTTATCCGAAAGTACACTAGCCACCTGAGCGGAAGTAATCCCGCCAATAATGCCTCCAACAATAGTTCCCCAAACTGGAAATACTAAACTTCCAATTGCCGCACCACCCATACCTCCGCCCACTCCGAATCCAATTGATGCCAAAGAATCTATACAGTTTTTAACGCAACGTTTCCCAGTAATTTCGCCACGATACCAGCGAAGAATATTACTGATGCAGGTGTACCCAAGAGACACGAATGCGAGCCCAATCATTACAATATTTCCTCCAACCTTATTAGCGGCACTAACAATATTGTCCACTGGGCTCAATGCGGTGTAATTTGATGCCAATTTTTGCACAACCGATAATGCATTAGCTTTGGAAGTTGCAGGAATCAAGGTCCATGCACGAGCTAGACCTGACGAAAACCCGGATATGACCGTCGTTTGATCAGCAATTAGAGCGAGTTGATAATCGCCATTGATTGGAAGTTCTTTGTCGCTCGCGTTCATGAGCCCTTCATAAATTTTCCGCAAGAGGTGAATAAATTTTGGATCATTCTCAGCCGACTTGGCGTCAGTGTAGATTCGCTCAACGTAATTTTTGAAACTTGTATCAAAGTTCAGAGCGACTTTTAATGTCCGCCACATTGGAGATACTATATTTGGATCCGCTTTATTGTATGCCTTATCCTCTTCATCCAAGAACCAAATTATTCGCATGAACTTTTCTTGATCATTTTCGAACATGGACATTATTTTTTTTCGTACTTGATCCTGCCAGTTGTTAGTTGTTTCAGAAGCCATATTAAATCTGAGCAATATTATAATTTAATGAGTATGTCTGTGTTTAATAATCTCTACAAATAACATTCTTTTTAATTAAAATCATGGAAAAAAATATGTATAAAACTTTTTCGAATTACTTACTTTAATGTGCGATTAATCACAACTTGTAAATTATTTATTTACGCTGAAGGTCGAAGTTTTGTATATACCCAAACTAGCATGAAAATTGGATTTGACAATTTCTATTTAAACAATAAAACTTGACGTTGCAATAGGTTGTTGCGTCACATATAAATATTTCGAACTAATGTATACGAGATTGAGCCAGGAATATATAGCAAAAAAGCCGGAAACCTGTAAAGTAAATACTTATAGATGCGTGATGGTAGATAAGTTGTTATATATACATAGATATTGCTGCAACGATTCTTGTTCTCCTTTTCTTTTCACTCTCTCGCGTTCGTCATACATTTGTTGACCACTTTGACTTTACAAGCTGAGTCATTTTTCCGTGGACAAATAGGGAAGTATTGCATTTATACATACATAATCAGAAGTCAGCAAATAATTTGTATATTTGTGATTATTTTTCTCTCCCGAATAGTGTTAAGCAAGCATTCGTATCGTAAGTAAGTATTGATTACAAATATTTATCAAACACAGGCAAAAAAAAGAGAGACATATATCAGGATGCCCATGTACATCTATATGCCCATATACATGCATATTTAATTCCTATGAATAATCCAATCCCTCTCTCGTTCATCTCCTCCCTTGGTGGTGGTGTTGATTTAAGTGGTGAAAAATTGTCTTAATTTCCCAAGCATCCGAATAATTCATGTAAACATAAATACCTACTCAGCCCAGAAAAAAAACTTGAATGCAAACACTTGATGAAATTCAATGAATTTCGTCGTCTCAAATGTTTCAGATACTTAAAATACCACCTCGTCGCCTTTTCTGAATCCGATTTTTTTTTCTTTCACGACCATTCTTCGACAATCATGGGAAAGAAATGTTCAAGAAAAAGTTGTCCACATCATAAACTCACCACTGCAACAAAGAGTCCATAAAGTTTTTCGAAAGAATTTTTTGGAATGTCGTGTCGTATATTAATGGGTAACGTCTCTCCTTAAACGTACAGCGCCAGGCTAGCCCCAGAATTCCTTTGTACGTCAAATACACAGAGAGAATCAGTGGCCACGGAAGTGTGGGGACAGAGGTTATTTTATGGCTACGAATTTCCAACTCGATCAGGTTCACATTATTACAAACAAAATATTGTATAACTTGGAAATTTCGAAATAATCAGTCCAAAATTCTGGGTAAGTCGAAATTTGCTGGTGATTCCAGAGTGTCACCAGTGGCCGCGGAAGCGTGAGGAGAGAGGGATAATGTCCCCACAGTTGTTCGATGTCCGCATCATCCGCCCATGTTATATAAAATCCGTCCCTCCCCTATCCTACAATGTTAATGTCCCCACATGTCCCCCACGGCTTCCGCGGCCACTGACACAGAGAATGAGACCTACATAAAATATAAACCCACATCGATCTATTGTGTTATAAATTGCTAAAAAGACTCCGAACTGACAATGATTTTTAGTTTGAGACAATCTTTTCCTCCTCGTAATTAATACTCCTCTCGAGAATTGTGGGTTTGAACGTTTGGGAATTATTGGAAAAGAAGGTTCTGCCCTCGCCGCAGCTCGGTGGGATGTCTTTCCTAAAAAATGAGACGTCTTCATCAAAACAATGACTTGATGTGTCCATTTGTTATATAAGTACTTCTCATTTGGCTGGGCTGACGACTCCATCAGACAGAGGTTGAAACAGATCAGTGCTTTACTTTACTAATAAATGTTACTTATTTATGTAACTTTTGGTGGAAACTCATTAACCATTTTTTTATGTAGAATGTTGGAATTGATACGATTGTACTTTTCTCTGCGACTCTTTTTTTAAAACAAACATTGGACACACTTCATACTCAGCCAAAACAGTGTCTCGGGTGCAACGGGAAAGTATCAAATTGCAAGAAAAGACTGGGATAAAGTGGTTTTTGGCAAGTACTTATTTTGACCTGCAAGAAATGCAAGGCGTTAGAAACTACTTCCCACCGCTATAAATACAGATACTTCATATCTTCGGTTGGCTAGATAGCACATATTTCTTGCACTTTCTCCCAGTTTCTTGCACCTCGTATTTCTTGTTTGGTACAAGAAGCATGGTACAAATCTTAATTAAAATAAGTATGCTCTTCATGAACAAAATAAGAAATGTGGATGGAAAGATTATGGATACCACGCATTTGCATATTTTTTTAGAATTATATCATTGTTTCCTTTTGTGGATTGTAAGATTTTTAGAGTTTTGAGTGATTTCGACGTCATTTTAGAAAATAGAGTGATTTTTATAATACTAAATTACTATGCAGATTTTTTATGTCCGTATTCCAAGATTTTTTGGAATTTTGAAATAAGGGAAAGAAAGTGGTTTTTTACAGGTAAATATTTCGACCTGCAAGAAATGCAAGGCGTAAAAAACTATGCCCTGCCGCTATAAATACTTCATACGGCGCGCAAATTTCTTGCACTTTCTCCCACTTTCTTGCACCTCGAATTTCTCTCATTTCTTCCTTCCCACTGCAAGAAATGCAGCAAAACCCGCAAGCAACGAGACGAAACCCCTCGCCAAAAGTTGAAATTGAATTGTTTTAGACTGCCCAAAATTTTTGGGAGAAGACCAAACTAAACGGTGAAGTGAAAGAAAGAAACCTGGAAGAAAAAGAAGACAAAACAAAACCAAGATCAAATAAACGTCTCGTGAAACTCAACCTGGTCTGTTCTCTTACATAACGAAGGCTGCCTTACTTTACTCTAAAGTTTAGAGTCTAAACGAAGAATATGAGACATTTTACGGTAAGGTTTTGTTGTCTCGTCTGTGTAGAATTTTGGAAAGTCAAGTAGCCGAGAGAGCGAGGCGAGGGAGCTAAAAGCTAATGAGACCTAATGAATCATTGTCACAACGGATGAAAATAAATCTATTATGCTTCGATGCTTATGTATTTTCACGAAATAAATATTCCTGCTTACAGATTTATGTAACCAGATTTATGTAAAAAAAAACATAAATAAATTATGCAATGTTAAAATGATTTATGTGCAAATATTTGCGAATAATTTTATAGCTCTTTTAATCATCTTGTAACTTCTGAGTTACATAATTACCTGGCTATAATTTTTGCAGTAATTTTGCACTCTCTGCAATCCTACTACAAATCGGTCGTCAAAGGTATGCGAAAAATGTGAAGTGCGCATCTCATACCAACCACAAATATGCCTCTACTCTTTTATCGAGTCAAGTTTAAAGACAATTAAAGAGTCGTAAATAAATAAATAGGCAAGTTTGTAAAAGCGAACCATGATAAGTACGTACAAAGTGAATATTATGCAAATGTTAACCAACAACTAACCAACAAACCAGCAGCATCAAAGCAAGTTGACTTGCAGTATTATGCCTTTAATACAATTAAAATCCAGGTGGGTGGTAGAACATAAAGGGCGAATAGCAGAGAAATGATCCAAATACTTACTAATCGTTAACTACTGCCAAAAAATTTCCGGAATTCCGACCCACCAACAAACCCAACCAAACCACTAAACATATATATCTATACCGACTTGCTTGCAGTGACCGCGGAAGCCTTGTTGTGGACATCTGGGGACATTAACATTGCAGGATAAGGGGAGGCAGGGGTTTATATAACATGGGCAGATGATGCAGACATCGAACAACCGTGGGGACATTGTCCCTCTTCCGCGGCCACTGCTTCCTTGCACTCTTCTCTTACGACAAAACAGAACAAAAGCATCCTTTAATAAATAAATGTACAGTTCATAAATTCAAATTATCTCGTACATACATACATTCATTTTCCGACAGTTTATATTTTTCGAATGGAGGAAGAAGAGAAGAGACAGATGGAAAAATGTTAATAAGGGTATCAATCTCACCCACCACTAGTTCCATCCATCCATCCATAAAATACGTACAGATTCAGTTCAAAGGGTAGCATATGAAGATGTATGTATGCATTTCGTTGCATAAGTTTGAAACAATGAATAAATTAAATTAGCCCAGTCCGCTCAGCGTCGGCATCGGTGTCACTCTCAAAAGAAAAAGAGAACTTATCTTTATTGCCATCGGATGTCTAATCTTGACTTACCTGAGTTTGATAACGATTAAGGAGAGAGAGAGGCTACCAGTTAGTTAGTCAAGTCAGTCAGGACGAACAAGTTTTATTAGTCCAGTCCAGTTGGACGATGATGAAATGAAGGTACATACTGTAAGTCGGTCTTTCTCGCAAGTTGGACGAGAGGCCAGTTAGTTCCCATCATTTGTTCGTTTCATTTCATTTCACCAATCGATTAAAATGTTTAGTGTCACTGATTTATGTGAGGAGAATTTGTCATTTTGGTTTCGTATGGAAAAGTCGCATCAATCTCGTTACGTAGAAAAAGTGCCAAAACACGGTTTTCTTATGCATTTACTCATCTCTTTAGGAGGAGGACGACATAGAATTTCAATTTTAATTGCAACAATTAAATCGGGAAAATCGATTCTTCTTGTGGAAAATGTACTTGATTTTAGTATTTATGTACAAGTTTCGACGTGTTAAGCAGTGGCCGCGGAAGCCGTGGGGACATTAACATTGTAGGATGGGGGAGGGACGGGTTTATATAAGATAGGGAGATGATGCAGACATCGGACAACCGTGGGGACATTGTCCCTCTGTCCACACCCTTCCGCGGCCACTGTTTAAAACGAGATATAAACAAGGATGAAGGTTGAAAGGCTTTTTGGTCCACTTGTTTTTAGTCGAATTGTGTGTTATGGGTGGGTGGCAAATGTTCATCTCATGTAATGAATTGTTGTCTCTCTCTTCTCCCCATTGACAATAGTGCGTTTGTGGGTTTAAGCTTTTAGTTTTAGTCGTGTTTCCTCCAGGCACATGAATCAAATCGGAAAGACAAAGGGAGACCAAGCCAACTGTGGGACATAAATCCCGAGATTTAATGGCCACAAGGAGCACCAGCAGCAGCAGCAGAAATGTAACCAAGTTTAAAGACAGGATCGAAAATTATTTAAAGCATGTACACACACAAAGTCCATTTCTCATATATAAAGGATGACAATACCTAGAAAGTTATGTCATTATAGATAAGTTGCAAGGGTAAGAGCAGGGCTCCTAATGCTATGTTTTTTGCGTGTACTGAGGGTTAGGCAAGATTACAGAACGTGTCGAAAAAAATTATTAATTTTTGGCCGAAATATCCATCGCTGGATATTTTAAATGATCTCATCGTATTCCTCATCCTTTTCTCATGAGGAATGAAGTTATCATTTCCAAAAAGCCGGGCTTTTAAAGCCGGCAGCAGATTTTCTTTGAACCACTGTTCATCTAGAAGTTTGCAAAATGCATAAAAAATTTTTTATGTCCATTTGAAAAAAGTGTCGAACTGAAGTTTCAAATGAAAATTAAAGCACTGGAGGCACATAACCGGACGTAACTAGTTTATCTTTATGCAAAATAATTTAAATTCCGAATATTAAAAAAAGAATGGCTGCGAACTGGGTGGTAATCCGAGCGTTGTCAGAGAAAAAGTTTCGCGTCGACCTAATATCTTCTGATCCTCGCTGAAGTTGGGCATATCTTGGTGAAGAATTCAGTTCAGTGTACGCCCAGGGACCTGCTCTGGCTGTTTGGCTTGGGGGGAGAACCGGTGGCTTTCGGCACTCGGAAGGTCTATGGTTCGATCCCTCATATCTCGGCAGCTGGGGCAGCCCTCCCTGGGTGCCAGTTACACACATTGTAGCTGGACAATCAGTAGAGTGGACTGAGCATGCTGCCTTTCCGTGGCAGTATTCGCGTCCAAAGGGGCATACATTAAGATTGAATAGGCAGTGGTGGGTAGAGGATAGGCGGAGTGGGACTGGCCCCGTAAGTGCAGGGGTGAGTGGTGGTGCTTACGGCAAGCCGGCGTCTCTTCCTGTCTTACTATCCTTAAATGGTTTCTCGATCCCCATATCTCATCAATAGATATGGGGATTATACCTGAGCAACTAGATAGCCACTGTCATACGGTGTAAGTAAGAGGATATGCAATAGATCTGATGGATGATCTGAGCATTGGGCTCCTCCAACAAGAGGAGCCCTCCTCCCAAAATACATACATACATACGCTCAGGGACCTGACACTTCGTGGCCAGTTGATTTTGGATTGATAAAAAAATTCTTGCCTTGTCCACATCAATTTTTCTCACGTGCGTCGGGTTTCTTACAGTACGGGGAGCATGCATTCGACGGATGTGGCACAATCAAATTTGTTGCCTGGTTCCTTTTTTCAACTGAATCCTTTATATTAGGCATTGGGCCATTAGAAATGACAGTTCTTTCATCATGGAGTTTGTTTAGTATTTTTTTGTACGTCATTATTGCTTGGCAAACTGTTTTATCAGCATGGAGCTCTGTGGGGTCAATTTCTGGACCCGTTCTCAAACTTTCGAAATTGAGCTTTTGGCTCACGGCGCAGCTTGAACCAAGCTTCGAGAAAAGTTTCAAATATTTGGAATTAGCGCAATTTTTTAATTTATATGGGCAAATTGCTACACGTTCTGTAATCTCGCCTAACCCTCTGTAATTCACAAATCGGCAAGCATTTTTTCATGTATTAGAAATCATTTGTGAGACTTCGCCTCCGGAAGTAATATGATTTAATTTAACAAAACAAAATGTTTTGATATACAAGATTCAATTTCAGGCATTTTTATTTTTTTTTTCATTTGTCAATGTTAATAAAGATAATCAAATCATAAAATACATTTTCAGGGACAGAATTTTCACAATTTTTGCCTACATTTTTAACAAATCTTTGTTCCTTCAGTAATAAACACAATTTTTGACACAAAAAACATGGCGTAAAATCAAAATTTCATAAAAACATTGGTTCAAAATGCTCAATATTAAAATTATGTAGTTAATCGTGATATTCCGGATTGGACGCGATTTTCCACTTTCCAAGAAATTATTAACTTTCCTATCTACATAAGTGTCCATATTCCATTGTTTGTTGGTGGTCACATCACAAAGTCGTCTCACCTCCAATAAGCTGCAGCCACCACAGCAGATGTTGTTTGTTTCGTCTGTGTGTTGTGTCACAAAATCATTAACGAAAGAAGCACGGTGATAAAACCTGATTAACTATTATAACAAAACAATCGAGTGGAGAAGATCTATACAAAACTACCACAACAATCCATACAAAACTAACCAACCACCACACCGACACATCATTGCATTGCATTCAGTGGCCGCGGAAGCCGTGGGGACATCTGGGGACATTAACATTGTAGGATGGGGGAAGCAGGGGTTTATATAAGATGGGGAGATGATGCGGACATCGAATAACCATGTGGACATTGTCCCTCTTTGTCCACACACTTCCGCGGCCTCTGTTTGCATTAACAACTTCTGCTGAGGTATCATCCCTATCAATATGACTTCTCTATTTTGTGCCTCTGGTACGAGTCACCTTCTCCCGTTTTCCAGTAATCATGGAGAGACAAAGGTTGAGGTAAAAGATTAAACACAATGAAAATTTAGGAAGTCAGCGAGCCAAGGGATGCGGTAATAAATTGGCTTGCGATGGAATGACATGACACTCGAGCGAGTCTCTCAAGAACCCTCTCGACTTTGTCTCCAATCGACAATTCAGCAAAGTGGGTGGCCATCGGCCAACGGAGAGGTGGACAAAGTGCTTGGTTCGAAGAAGATGATGTCCACAAATGAGCGGCCTAATGAGTCGCAACGATACGACGACATTGATCTTTTTCATGGAACGATAAATCCTACATGGACAGGATCGAGGACGGAATCGAAAGATCGGATCAGAATGAAAATCAGGACAGATAAAAGACAACGGTAGGAATAAATCACGTCATAATTAGTGGTGAGTTTTGGTTACGGAAGAAAATTCTAGAAATTGCGTCAATCTTTTTCAAAAATTGTGTGTCACCAATTTCCAATAAAGTTTAAAGCAATATCTGTAAAATTCTAGAATTTGCATCACTCCTTTTCAAAATTATTTTTGAAGATTATGTATAACAAATTTCCGATAAAGTTTAAAATAATACCTGAAAATTATAGAATTTGCGTAAATATTTTTCAAAATTATTTTGAAGATTCTATTCTGTGTCATCAATTTCCGATAAGTAATATCTGAAAATTCTACAATTTCCATCAACCATTTTTTTCCAAGATCCAAACCAAATAATTTTGAAGATTTTTTCTGTGTCACCAATTTCTAAGTCTAAAGTTTAAAATAAAACATGACTTATCACACTTGCATAACATTTCATTGTCATTGCGTCGCGGAATCGAATACACAAAAACGACTTGTGAAAAGCGACGGGGAAGACAGGGCAGCTCGCCCCCCGTCGTTGCAAACAAGACTTGGAGACAGTTGGACACGATGACATCACAAGTTTTGGACTGATGAACAAGAGAAAGGTGACACGAAGTGATACGGCAGAATATTTAATAACCTAATCAACCTGGGTGACGTGATATCAATCTCGTCAAGCAAAAAGGGAGAAATGTTGTGTGTTATGCTGTTCGAGTAATTTGTCATAAAAGATGAGATGACTTTTTGTCGTAAAAATTGTGTCAGGAGAATAAAAATTGTGGAAAACGTTAATTGGAATCTGTTACAAGTATAAAATTTCAGTCATACGTTACAGGAAATAATTTTAAGAATTGTCATTGTTATATTCGTAAAATTTGAAAAATGCATTATTTCTTAATGAATTTTTTGTTCGGTTAAACGCCAATTCGATTTTTTTGTATAATTTAGCTTCACTTAGGATTTTTTTAAGATTTATTTATTTGGAATTTGGAACTGATTGTTATTTCTACGCATTAAAATTTCATGATACAGGAAACAATGTGAAGAATTATATAATATCATTATAATTATCATTATTATATTAAGAAATATATATAAAATATGAAACATGCATTATTTCGTAATGAATTTTATTGTTCGGTTAAACGCCAATTCTAAATATTTTGAATTTTTTGTATAATTTAGTTTTAGTTAGATTTGTGTATAATGTTGCAATTTGTAATTGATTGTTGAGAAATAAATGCAAAAACAATTAAAATTCAATATGTGCAATATTTTATGTTAAAAAAACATTTTAGAAATTGTTGAACGCCAATTGTGAATATTTCTAATAAATCTTTTATTTTAGATACTAAATTTTCCCCCTTTTCTTCGAGTTTCTTTTTTTGCATGTAAAGTAGGTTGTTTTATTGTTTTCAACTAACAATAAGTTAATTTTGAAATTCGGAACTAGTTCAGACCTCCAGAGAAATATATATCTATGTATAAAATTTGAAACATGCTATTTCCTAATGAATTTTTTTGAACGATTAAACGCCAATTCTAAATATTTCGAATTTTTTGTATAATTTAGTATTAGGTTGAGGTATTTATAACGATTCAACTTGGAATTGATTGCTGTTTGTAAAAACACGCATAAAATTTCATGATACAGGAAATATCTGATTGCTGAGGAATAAATTCAAAAAAATATGTGTAATATTTTGCATTTAAAAAATATTTGTTGCATTTTAGAAATTATTGAACGCCAATTGTGAATATTTTTAATAAATCTTTAATAATTACAGTGATAGATTAATAAAAATTTTACCCTCTTTTCGAATTGATTTTTTTTGTATATAAAATAATCCTTATTATTATTTACAACCACATTAACTTTGAAATTCAGAACTTCAGAACTTCAGACCTCCAAAGAAATATATATATAATTTGCAACATGCTATTTCCTAATAATTTTAATAATTTTAATTGATTATTTTAAAATTTAAATTTGTTTTTAATTCTTGAAAATTCAATTCTTACGAGTTGTCGCTTGGTTATTGAAGCAAGCAGACGTGTTTATTTTTCTGAGGTGAGGAAAGTAACCAAGGGCTACCCTCACGACAGAAAAGCACATGGTTACGGCGAAGCCAAGGTATGCTTTCAAGACAGGGTCCTAAAACTTCCGCCACGGCCACAGCTCGAACGGTTGAATTTAGTGAAAAATTGTTGAAACAAAAAAATCAGACAATTACGAAATCTAGTGTCTTTTCATCTTTCTCGTTATGAAAGTCTAATATTATAAGAATTTTAGGACCTTTGAAACTTTAAAATGAACCGGAAATTCAATTTCACCATACAATGATCATGCCAGTAGCTGATTTTAGTGTCCGGGCACTGATTACGCTTCATTTAAGACACGTTCGAGCAAAATCGGTTCAAAAATGAGAAACTTTTGATGGAGGTATCTGCAGCCATTTACGCTGCTTAAACGCGTATGATAATTGCACATTAACTAGCTGGGTGCTATTGGTAACGAATAAAAAAATTCCCACCCAAAAACCAGAAAATAAAACAACATTTAAAAAACAGCACTCTTCGGTGAGGGTGCGACTAAAAACTTTGAAACAAGAGCATTGAGCAAATTTTAAAATTTAATATTACCAAATTTTGCCTCACCGTTGGCATTCAGTTAAATACGAAATCGGTTTGGGCCCACGGCGAGGCAAAATTTGGTAATATTAAATTTAAAATTTTCTCAATGCTCTTGTTTCAAAGTTTTTAGTCGCACCCTCACCGAAGAATGCTGTTTTTTAAATGTTGTTTTATGAGCTCTCATTTTGTAAGAATTTTCAAGAATAATAAATTTTATTGAATGATTAAGACGCCAACTCTAAATATTTCGAATTTTTTGTATATTTTTGATATATTTACATTTATTTAAAACGACTCAATTTGGAATTGATTGTTGTTTGTAAAAACACGCGTAAAATTTTGATACTGATTGTTGAGAAATAAATATACAAAAATTTAGTATTAATGTGTGCAATATTTTGTGCCAAAAAATATTTGTTTAAAAAATATATGCGTTTAACATTTTAGAAATTGTTAAACGCCAATTCTAAATATGTTGTGTTAAATCTTTACTAATTACATAATATTAGATCGTGAAGTTATCCATTTCTGCATGTAAATAGGTTTTCGTTATTTTCGATTTCAACCACGTTAATTTTGAAATTCAGAACTATTTAGTTCAGACCTCCAATGAAGCCGTAGTTTAAAAAAACCCTTCGAATTTGACACCACCTAAAAAACGATAGCCATATTGCACTGATAAAAATGCACTTCTTTATAAATACAAGCGAAGAGTTTATGACATGACATGTGACACATCTCCCAAGATGACAAATCAATCATAAGACAGATTCAGCTGGCTAATTACCATCTCATCTCCAAACCCTTGCTCCTGCTATCCATCTTATTACAACACTGGCTTTATATAAGTTACTCATATTTACACAGTGACCGCGGAAGCTGTGGGAACATTAACATTGTGGGATAGGGGAGGCAGGTTTTTGTATAAGATGGGCAGATGATGGGGACATCGAACAACCGTGGGGACACTGTCCGCGGCCACTGCTCGTACATACATAAGCTAAGGCATAAGCACTTCAATTTTGACATTTTGAGGCTAATGTTCACGAAATTGCGAGTTAGGGGAGAGAGGATCGATTTTAAAAAGCTCATTTTTGTCATTCTGTCACTGTCAAGATGTTGTTGTGCTAATGTCAATTTATGTCACACTTCTTTCATACGGGGCTAAAAATTAAGCCAGCATATGTACATATGACGTAATGTACATACTGGCAACAATTACCTCCAAAATAAGAACCACAATACAAAATTGTACATTTTTTTGTATGTACTGAGATGGATTTGACAACAATGAGTGTCCATTTCTATTCATGACGATGATTGTTCTGCACAAGTAAAATACAATGCAAATTAAGGACCCGGGGGAAGTTGCTTAGAAATCACGTCAACTTTGACAATAAAATTCAGCAATGCGCAAGAGGGCACATTTTTCAAATTATATTTAATTTGTTAATCATATCTTTAGATTTTACTTACATTTTTTTTGACAATGTGCCCTCTTGCGCAGTGGAGATATTTGGTCATAAAGAGATCACAAATTGGCTTAGAATTGCAAAATTGATGGCATGAATTGCATTTTGAGTATCCATGGAACAAAAGAAAACTACTTTTTTCAAAAACTTGAGGGACTTGAGGGAAACTTTTTCAAAAACAGTGACCAAATCAAAGCTTTTGAACGCGAGAGTGCCATAGAAACATGTTAATTAATCTTGGTCGTAGCCTAATATAGTGATAATAATCTTGGATCCCTAGCAATTATTGTTGCTATATATAAAATGAATTTTCGAAAAGTAAATCTTCCCCCGGGCCCTTAATAATCAATCAATTAAAATCAGGATATATTTAGTTGCATAACTACAGATTCAGATCAACTAACTTTTTTCATGAAAATTTCGAAAAATGTGCAATTTGTAAATTTCCGTAGACGGTGTGTCAGCTTTTTCCGACTGATCGAATTGAAAGTAAGCACTTTCTCTTGAATTTTGCCCTGATTTTGCACCTAATATCTCATCATAATTACAGATCAAATTACTCCCCAAAATGGAAATCCCCCTAAAAAATTCCCCCTCGCAAACAATGCTGGCTGGCTTTCCAGACGAGGAAGACGGAAATTTGACCACGGTCGGTGACTCCAAAGACACCACGGTCGATGAAACCCCAACCAGCAACAATTTTGAAGCACTGTATCAACAACCCGGTAGCTCATCTGGAGCCACCCAAAATCCAAAGCTTTTGGACTCCATCGTCGAAATTGTAAAGGCGGAAGAGACGTTGCGACGTGTCAGCGAGGAAAAAATTGACCCCGGTTACGACGACGAGGAAGACAACAACAACACGGACGTGTGGAACGTCACGGAGGGTGAGGCCGGAGATATTGCGGAAAACATCATTTTCGACATGGAAGGTGACTTGACGGATATCCTCAAGTATCGCGACATTGGATCGACTCATCTCACTCTGCCAGAAGAACAGGCCATGGCGTATTCTCACTTCAAAATTCCAGACCCCATGGACGCTCGGTACTACATTTAACGTAACTCTGGAAGAGAATTAATCCAATCGTTTATTGAGTAGACACACATCGCCTGAAATTATAATTCGTAAAAAAATCGTGATTTTATAATGATTACATGTGTAAAATGCAAATGTTATGAATAAAATACAGATTTTATGTACTTGTAGAGCATTATTGGTTGAATATAAGTTTATTCATTATTTTCGTATGTATATATTTACATATTTTCAAGAAACTGAGATTTATAAAAAATAAACTTATAATAATTGCGGAAGATCTGTGATTTGTGAACAGAGTTTACACCTGAGAATATTCGATACTCATGAAAATACATATGTGAGGCAGTAATTTTTATTTTATTTTTTACGCATGTCTTGATTGCAGATATTTAGCATTCGAAATATTGACAAGACAAAAACTTAAAACTTTTCCTCTTTTTATGCCGCCATGAAACGCTAATTATCTAAACTTACAATTTTATTAGTAAAATATATAAAAAATGACACAGTGGAATTTAAATCTCCGTTACTGCAAAAGATTAAAAATCAGCAAAACCCCTCCCACCACAAGCTGTACTAACACCACAATCACCAAAAACTGAATAACCATCGTTGTCAAACTCCCCATTTTCGAAAACAGTGGCTTCAGATGTCCCAACACGTACGAGGTCATCGTCAACGCGCGATAAACGACGGGCGCCGGTCGCAAGAAATTCGGTTCCGCCTTCATCTTCAGAAGAACGTAAGCTGTCACTCGGATCACGATTAAATGACTCAACAACCAAATTACATTCCTCCGCAAATCCGAATCGCTCAAGTCAAACATGTATAAAACCGTGTTTCCAATATCTCCCGGCAAATATGTGCACCGATCAAAACCGTAAATCACGATGAGCAGTGATTCAAAGCTGAACCGGATAAATGACAGATTCGTGATCCACTTCACGCTTGCCGCCATTGCAATCGTTTTCACAGAAAAGCCTGAAAACAGGAACAAAAAGAGGAGAATCGTGCTGGACAAGATGACCGTGATGTTGAACGAGTCGACGCAGATTATCCCGATAAGAAATCCTAATCCCTGCGCGATAAAGCAGCTGAGGAACGTGATCCAAAGGAAGGCGGAGTAGCGCCACGACATGAAGCCGAATAATCCCCCGTACCACGTGTCCATCCCGATTTGTTCGCTGTACCAGTAGAGAAGATAAGTGTAGAAGAATGGGAAGGCGAATTGGCAAGGGATTTCGAGCAGGGTTTTCGATATGTAATATGTTCCCGTACTGTACCATCCGTTTCGGTGTTCGTTAAGGAATAGCTGAAAATTTGGGAATATTTTTTTCATAAAATTTCAATTCACTGTGAAAATTTCGAACAAATCTCACCTGAATCCCCGCCGGAAACGCGAGCACGGTCGGCATCAAGGCCGCAAACATGAGAAAAAGTAAACTAAAAAATTGAAATTTCACATTTTGACTCGTAAAGCTCTCATTTCTTAACGTTTTTTCTGCCGTGACTTTGACCCCGTCGTTAAAAAGAGCCGTATCATTGGGGACATATCACCCATCCGCGACCCCCAGCTCTCTCCCGTACAGCGTCGTCAGCACACCGGCCACAACCACGTGTAACGCAAACCGGATCAGGATCAATTTCCGTTGTCGCCAAATTGACGTTCGTCCCGCCCGTTTGAGCAGAATCCATAGGTCCTTAAGGCAAAAAGTGGCCCTTGGTTTGCAGAGGCCTTCTCCCTCAATATGTCGACCAGGGGAAATGCTGCTTCCGTCCCACTCGGATAAGACACGTTGCGTCATCTCGTCACAAATCAGTCTGTTATTTTTCAGATCTTCCACCAGACTGAGAGGGACTCGATTTTGGTTGAGATCGTCATACGCGTCGTCTTCGTCTTCGTCCACTTCGACATCTTCGTCCGCGATCATGTTTTGCATCTCGATCTGAAGGATCTCATAGTTTCCTATGGTGCCTACGATTAGGTCGTCGCGATTGACGGATGACGCGACTTTAATAATGCTGTCGGCAGGGTTGGCAGTTTTGGGACATTTGAAATTGTAGGTGGCCAAAGTGGGCTGAATGTTGTCCGGGGGTCCGTTGTAAATGCAGTTTCCGGCTTTTGAGATTGTGTAGACTTTGTGAAATTGTTCCAGCATGTCGAAACTGGGTTGGTGGATGGTCGTGATGATGGACATTTTTTGAGTTTGTGCTAATTTTCGGAGGAGAAATACGACCTGAAATAAGTAAGAGAGAAAGTTTGTGTTAGAAATCGAGTAGTAAAATAATACCAGGCGGTATTAATTAATATATGACTTTACCAAAGCAGTATTGACAAGTATAGTAAATAGCTCGGTATAAAGTTTTACCATATCGGTAGCAAATTGTTACGCCCCGGTACAATTTTAATACCAAGTGGTAACAATTTTAATACCAAGCGGTAACAATTTTAATACCAAGTGATAACAACTTTAATACCGAGAAATCAATACCTGCCAACTTTCAATTGTCAAAATACTTACGTTAAATCCCGAGTAACTGTCGAGTCCACTTGTCGGCTCTAAAATAATTTGTAGAAAATAATTTTGTAAAATGGTAATTTTTCAGTCATTTTTAACCTTATAGAAACTAATTAATTTTGACCTGGATACCATTTAAAAACGGAATTAAAAATGGTTTCTATTGCATTTGGGGGCGGATTTACTGGGGGCAGAATACCATTGAGACCGACTTGTGGGGCGGTGATAAAATCAGTTGGGGACTGAATTAATGCAAACCGATTTTGAATATTCTACTGATGCAGTTATGATTTATTAGAGACCTGGAACTGATTCGACAACAAAAATTAGAACATTATACATTTTTAACATGAAATTGCAACTGAACCAAATGAACACACGATATTAATTTTGATAAAAAGATCGGATTTGATTTTGATAGTACTACAAAAATAAACTAAACGAATAAATCGTCATCATTCATGTCATCAATTTGATGACACTGATTTTGGGATGCATTTTATATTTTAAACAAGTTATTAGCTATAATTTTGTCCTTCAGTGTTCTGTGACTTGTTCCGATCGGTGGTGACACTATTGCGAATATATTAGCTAAAGAGAACGTTGTGATAATTTTAAAAAAATATGAACTGTATCATATTTACAACATGATACAGGTCAGAGGTCAACGCCGACCAATTTATTAGCGGCGCCAATGTTGGATAATTTTTCGGGGGCGCGGCGTGACCTCTGATGCACTTCCTCCGAGTTCCTCCCCCCACTACAACTACAACTCTAAACTCTAAAAAAATTAGTTCAGGCTTGAAGAAAAACCAACGACAAATAAGGAGGAAAGAATGGAACTGAGAAAATTTTCTCGGTCATTTTATTTTTATTTTTTCCTACACCTTATTGATGTAGCCCGGTCTCAACGGAATTCTGTAACCATACACCTTATTGGTGGAATCCGTCGCCAACGAGAAAAAGTTGGCCTACACCTTATTGGTGTAGTCCGTCGCTAAGGCGAAAAATTTGGCCTACACCTTATTGGTGTAGTCCGTCGCCAAGAGATCGAAATCGCCCTCCACCTTATTGGTGGAATCCGTTTTTAAAAGGTTAACCTTTTAAAAACGGTTTCTATAAGGTATAAACTTAAATTTATAAATTTATTTTAACTTAAATTTAAATTTAAGTTAAATTTATTCTATAAACTTCAAAGCATTTTCTAACATAATAGAAAGATGAGTACCGTACAAGGAGGTGATAATGTCAACTTTGACGGGCTAAAACTACCAGAAGCGAGCATTACGTTTCTTAGCTTTTTTGCCATAAAATCAGTCATATCCTCATCTGTAAGAAAAAGCTAAGAAAAAGCTAAGAAACGTAATGCTCGCTTCTGGTAGTTTCAGCCCGTCAAAGTGGTGTGGGTTTTGAAAATTTTGCAAAATATTTGGGAAAAATTATAAAAAGACCAAGGAGACTGTCGTCATGCGACCCCGTGGTCAACAAAACTCTGCTGTTTTCTTGAAAGTTAGTTTTTAGCCCGAGTCTGGGCTTATGGAACCCTCATGTCCGTCCGTTCGCCCGTCCGGCCCATCTACACGATAGAACCAAAACGGCCTAACCGATTGACTTGAAATTTTCACCATATGCATGTAAAACTTTGCAAAGTTAGGAATGGAGTTCGAAGATAGGCGAAATCGGTCAAGTGGTTGACCGGTGGGGGTCATCGGAGTGGGTGGGAATTATGCACCAAAATTTCAAAATTGTCATAGAAAGCTGAAATTTGGTACAGAGATTGCTAATGGCTTCTAATGAAAGAATGTGAAGTGAAATTGTAAAATTTTACAACCGGAGGTACCCTAGGGGGTCACCCCCTCCGATTTTCAGAAATTAGCTTGAAAAGCTGAAATTAGGAATAGTGGTCCTTAGTGCTTTCTCATGAAATAAACGAAGTAAAATATTAACAAAAAGTAACCAGAGTGGCAGTAGGGGTAACCCATATCGATTTGTAAAAGTTGATATAATCAGTTGAAATTTAGAATGGAATCAAAAAATAACTTATGAATAGCATGTAGGAGGCTTGAATTTCGAAATTTTTATAGGAGAGACCTCCACTGGTCATGGGAAGTAGTCACGAGGAAGGGATAGCAATATTTTAATTGAAAATATTATTTTTAGAACTTGATCCAATACGAGGAATTGATACTACTGTTCATTCAAAACTAATATGCAGTAAAAAATCTGAAAGGTTATCTGGCGAAATATTCTTTTTCCATGACTTGAGGTTGTTTAAATATACATTATGTATTTTTCAACTTTCACAGTAATTTTACTGCATATTAATTTTGAACCAACAGTAGTTAATTCAAGATTCATTGCAAAATAGTAGCACATAATTTTACAGAAAACTATTGGCAAACATGGGTTTATGTACTAACCACAGAACTATACTATAATATCTAACCAATCCTGGTTCGGGCTAAACAAAACTGTACTGATAGGTTTTTTAAATTATTTAATCGAGATGAAACTTCGTACATAGTTTACTAATGATCCCTAATGGAAGAAGATGAAGTAAAATTGAGTAAAATTTTCACATCCGGGACCCGTTGGGGTAACCCATACCGATTTTCATAACTTGTCTCAAAAAGCTGAAATTCGGAACGGTGATACTTAATGGCTTCTCATGAAATTATATGAAGTCAAAGATGAACAAAAAATAACCAGATGGGCAATAAGGAAGGAGTACCAATACCGATTTCTAGATTTCTAAGAATTTATATATTCAGCTTAAATTTAGTGTGGAGTTGAAAAATAGGATTAGAATTTAGGAGGGTTGAATTTCGAAATTTTATAGGAACAGCCTCCACTGTTTGTGGTATTTGGTGCCAATTAATACTACCAACTGACGTTAGTTAATGCAAGAATTAGTGAAAAATAGTATAAAATTCTGACAAACATGGGTTTACTAATCCATCCTGGTTCGGGCTTAGCAAAGCTGTACTGCTAGGTTTTCAAAAAATAATTCATTTGTCGTCACATTATTTGTGTCTTTTTGAAATTGGTAAAAAATGAATTTCTCATGCTCGATAAATGTGACAATTAGTGAGAATATTATGTCGGGTGTATGGAAATTTGCTCCGAGAAAACGATAAGATAGATATAACCAGCGTCATTGAATTAAGAATAATACAAATATTTTGGTGGAAATCGTCAGGTCGTTGGACAAAAATTTAGAAACGGACTCTGACCCTGTCTCGGGCTAAATGAAGTTCTTTGCATTTTTGTTGCCAACGACGTTGTTATTTTTAATTGTTTAAAAATAATATTTCGCTCAGGCCGTAAAAACCCCCTTGAACGGTACTCTCCTTTATTTTACCATCAAGAAACAAAAAATCCGGTTTATCCTCACACGCCAATTCTTGCCCTATCGCGATCCTCTTTCTCTCTCCACCGGAACACTTTCCAACCATATTATTCTTAATTTTGTCCAGTTCTAGATCCTCCAAAACGATATCTACGATATCCTTATGCCTCCATGCCCTCGTATTTTTAGGATTTTTCAACTCCGACGCGTAGTACAGCGACTCATACACCGTCAAATTGCTGAGAAGATGATCCTTCTCATCCTGCGTTATAAACGCGGCCTTGACATCCTTCTCCACCGTGACCCACAATTGACCGTCACACCCTCGATGATTTTTCCCCTGTGTGATAAATTTCAGCAGGGTGCTCTTCCCCGCTCCGGACGGCCCCATGAGCGCGCATAACTCGCCAGGGTCGACTTTTCCGCTCAAATCGTGCAAAATTTTGGCATTTTCATTTTCCACCAAACCGCACGAACCGCAGCAACAACCAAGCCTTATACTGGAACAAATGGACCCACTCGCTTTAAATGATACGTTCTGCCAAACCAGAGACATTTTCAGGTGTAGCTTATCACCTTGTCAAGTTAAGAATGAGTACGATCTTTCGTAAAATGGTATTTATATGCTTAACCAAAAACGCACTTTTTCCAGGAGTTATCATAAAAGAAACGTTTGCCAGGTATGTAAGTAATTATCCTGGCTGGAGAGAAGTATGGAATGAATCATGTAATGTAAAGCCCATTGGATTGATGTCCGCGAGACAATGACTTACGTCAGTCCATCATCGGTTCATGAGTAAAGGTGTTTAATCAGCCAAGTTCATGAAGACATTGGCCGCGGAAGGTGTGGGGACGTTAACATTGTAGATTGCAGGATGGGGGAGGGTGGGGTTTATATAACATGGGGAGATGATGCGGACATCGAATAACTGTGGGGACATTGTCCGCACCCACGCTTCCTCGGCCACTGCGACAAGGTGTAGTTAGTTAATGTACATACATTACATACCACGACTGGCGACAGTTCGTTTACTTACTCCTTTTACATCAATTCCGAATTGGATAGATAGATAGCCAGCGTTTTGGAATGCACGTGCAATAATCAGTTCATGAGACAATACAATACTGATTATGAGATTGGAAAAATTCGCACTTGTACTTGAAAATTTTACACTAATTAAAACGGATGTATGTACATAATAAATGGGAGAATTCAATGTGGGTATTCACGTCAACTTCGTAAAAGCCGTAAACGTCGCTTCGCAACATATCTTCGCAACTTTGCGATGTTTACGAAGAGTTGCGATGCGACAACCAATCAGATTGCTTATTATCAATGTTTATGTTAATAATAAACTTTACCCAAATTAATAAATTTTAATATTTTTAGTAAATTTAAAAAAAAATCAGATTGCTTTATTTTTTTACGAAACATGCGAAGCAAAAGGGCATCTATTATCGTCGTAAATATTTTTCACAAACTCGTCGTCAAGTGAAATTTTAATTTATCCTCAATTTTAGAAATTGCCAGACAACCTTACACTTTTCCGTCGAATGAATTATTTTTTGCAAATAATCAATTTACGCATTTTCATGTAAAATTAAGTCGTTCACGACACCTATTTCCCAAACACTGCAAAGTTGCGAAGATGTGTTGCGAAGCGACGTTTTTTAGTGACGTGAATACCATAGAGTTTTATTAATATAAGCAGAGGGAGTACCATTGCTCTTTGTTCAGCGAGAATGCAAGCCACGTGATGTTTTGATTTGGTTGAGAACATAAACATTACGTCATCACTCATCACCACCATCACTAGAATGTTATATACAACACATACAAGGCATGTATTTTATGTATAAAATTCTGTGAGGTTGTTGAGACTCAGTTTCAACGTCAGGTACAGGTAGCATGTTACCAAACTTGTTACCAAATTACGATAACCTTCAAATTCTCATTATTTCTTCATGACAAATATTTTCGAAATAATTTTTAAGTAATTCTTAACTAATGTTTCTGACCACGGTCAATAAACCAACTTAGATACACATTGTGGTTGGATGGACCCCACTCCGATCTGCTTGTTTTTCCCCAACATGAGAGCCATCATACAAGAAGTAAATCGTCATTTTAGTCTGTTTAGTTGTGGTTTAGTTTGAGGACTGTCGGTATGGTGGCTCGTTCGCATGCAATTTTAGATCACCCATTCAATTAACCTGCTCCTGTCAGGCCTTGGTGAATACCCACAATATAAATGACGCTGTATGTATATACAGACATAATTATCGATATGGCTTATCATTACTTCTTTTGTATAACACGCGGCGACGTATTTTTTACATGCACACGTAAATATTTGTTACATGATGTTTATATTTTCAGATTTATTGTCGGGAAGAATAAACAATCAATTATAAAAATGTTTTCAGAGATTTGGATAATTTATGATAATCCAAACTTTGATTGACGAGAACATTTTACGTATTTGAGGGTTGTAAAACATTTACCGATGTATTTTTATTTGTTGATGTGTCAGATTTTTTTTATCTGAAAAAAAACAATCAATTATACAAAATGTTTTCAGAGATTTTATAACAATCCAAACTTTGGTTGAACATTTACGTATTTTGTAATAAGAAAACGTATTATTTAAATTGCTCTCAAGTTACATGGAAAACCAGGAATGAAGGTGACACATGCCTACATATATACAGTGATCATGCTTATCACGTGTATTACTGCTATATGTATGTAGTAATATATCAGACAACAAGCTGTTTCATGCTCATGAGAGACTTTTCAAAAAACGGTTTATATTTACAGTAAAAATTAATTATTTAGTGTTAATTAGTTATATAAACGAACATTTCGTGAGATTTCCAGTCGAAGAAGCAACGTCTCATGGAAATCCTCAGCGTTTCATGGAGATAATGCACACGTGGCCATCGTACGTACTTCTGAAGAAGCTCAATTCTTGCCACGATTATGTCGCATTGCATCATGAAATTATTTATTGTTACACTATTATTACAAGTAATTACTGGATTGCATTTGCATAAACTGCAATAAACAAATATTCAATCATTATGCAATTTTTATCACAATCAGTCAATTTCTACTGATTTTGCCACTATGCTATCGTCCTGTCACCTGTCAATTCCTTATCCACATATGCATACAGTATATATGTAAATATGCATATATGTATGCTACGATACGATGTAGATACATGTATATATGATACATATCTTTATCTCGTAAACACAATAATGTAGCATGAACATATGTATGTACTTATTCCATGCCTTCACATACTTTTGAATCCAACAATGCAAAGGCGAAGGTATAACAAACCTTAGAAGGGTTAGTACGTAAAACTATAGTAGAAAGGTTATATGTATGTACATGAATGTGCCTCATTTTGAAATAAAGTTCATCATTTACGCGCTTTTGTCACCATCTTTAATAATCGAAATAAATTGCGAATATAAAATTAACCCGTAATTTGCGAATCATTATGGTTGCTCATCATGTTTTTCAGAACCATATTGTTTCAGAAGATGGTTATCCGGTAAGAATCTCAGACGTCACCAACTTTGCATATATTCATAACAAGTTTTTTTAAATAATGTTTGAATGCCCATTCCAAACTCAATGTTTAAATGAAATGTTACAAGTATCTTGCAAAATTGAGTAAATACCTACATGCAATTTTGCAACATTTCGTCAAATTATTGAGTTCAAATGACTAAATTCCTCATCTGCACACGCATACCAACTGTTGTACAAATCAGTTTACAATTAAGAAATATCAATTAAACTCTTTATCGTATAGCTTGCTCCAAAACTGGAATTAAATATGGCAGGTAAATACAGAAACATAATACAATTTTTAAAAGCTTTTTGCCTGATGAAGATTTACTGTATGTACTCGAAAGCTAGCAATAAATATAATCAAGTTCAATATGCTAAAATATATCGAAAATTCTATTAGTAATAAAAATTATTACATTACTAATTAATTTTACAGAGCCCGACTACCGCTACGAATTCCTGTATGAGTTGGGCGTCGAAAGACGAGCATTAATCAACCAGAGATTAATTTTAAGCCGTGCACCACAAACACGAGAAGGTCAGAGAATTAATATTCGCATTTCATGAATCAGAAAAAAAACAAGTGCATGTATAGCTAAAAGAACAGAAACAAGCTATGTTTTCCAAGAACTTATTGGAGTTATTAGCTATTTTTTTTATCTCAATAAAATTTATTTGGATAATTCATAATTTCATCTTTGCACTTTAAACTTTCTCCTTACTCTGACTCTCGATTTTTACAGTACAATTAACTCCAATTTTTGAATTTCCATAAATTCAAAATTGTATAGTGCAAAATTTCATAAATTAGAGGGAATTTGAGTCCTAAAATTGTCATTTTGCAAACTTTCTCTCATTAAGATGAGAAGCTCCATTCTCAAATTCTCCAATTTCCTTTCTCATTAAACTCGTCTTTGTATGTATCGTTGGTCAGAACCAGGTCTTGTTCGATTTTGGAAGCAATACATATTTCAATACAAATAATCATTTGAATATCAACGTTTTTGCTGGTTTAATGTATTATCTTATTATATTACAATATAGTTTGTTGTATTGCAGTGACTTCGTGGATAAAGGAGATCACGGACAAAATTGGTCTATTAGACCAAAGAATCCGTCAATTTCGCAGGGAGTTAGGTATCACTGAGGAACGTGTGCCAAACCTGGACACACCCACCTAGCGGAATTTGCTGATTCCTTTTGTACTAATTATGGTGGTAGGCATATTTTCTACTATGTTTAATAATAAGTAACAATTGTATATACGAATTTATCTGCATTGTCTATATTTAGCTTTCTGTAACCAATATCAATTTTACGGTCTTGTCTCTACTAAAAATATATTTATCATTTGACACTGGTATTGTGCTAAAGTCAAAAATTAAGGTTAAAAATTGTACATATATTTTATTTATTTATTTATTTTTAATACTTATCATCATATGCACTTATCATGCACATGTAACAAGTCGGCGTTTCATGAACCATCATGCATACAAAGCCATCGTGCCGTAAAGTGAGGAACTAAACGTAATCTCACCATTAGTCCAACTTTGTTGATGTTTTTGAACGAGTCCAGAAAATCAGGTGAATAACACCATTTCGCCGTCAATAATAAGTTTTCCCATAAATAAAATTATTACATCACAAAATAAATAAAATTGGCGTTTTTGTTATACATAAAATTAGTTAAAGCTCAATAATATTTTTGAAATGTGGCAAAAGTTATTTCCAATGTGCTCAAATTATCTGTAAAACGAGACAATAATGTTTTTATAGCAGCAATAATAACACAATCAATATTTACCTGTAAAAATTCCATTAATGAATATGAGCGACTCTGAAGATTATGGAGGTGATTCGGACGCCGAGGAAGACTTATCAATCAGGTTCGTATTCAAATTTAATGAAAAGAATTGATAAACGAAATTTCATGTCAAATTTTTTATTCAGAAACTATGAAGTCACAAAATCTCCCAGTAAAAATGACCTCTTGCCCTTACTGGAATGTCCGGTTTGCATGGAACTACCCCTGCCCCCAATCAGAACATGCTGCCAGGTAAAATATTTATGTTGACAGTTTAATTTAACGGCAAAACAGTTTGTTAATTAATCTGAAGCAATTAAAAAATATAGTAAAGTTTTAAAATTTGAAATATGCAGGGTCACATCATTTGTGCGGCATGTACTCCTCGCCTTCGAGTCTGTCCCCTTTGTCAACAACATATCGGAACTGGACGAAATTTTTTTGCGGAAGATTTTCTGAATAAAAGTATATTTCGCTGTAAATATTATGAGGACGGGTGCTTTGTGGAACTTCCAGGAGTAAAGATTAATGAACACGTTAAAGACTGTCGATTTAGGTAATAATACTTTAAAAAATCGGTATGAAACCGAAAAATCAGTGTTTTAATTATAATGTTTCTTTTTCGTACACAGACCTCTCAAATGTCGTTACTGCAATAAGAAAGTTGCATTTAACGATATTGACCATCACTTATTAAAAGCGCATCGCATCGGCCGGTGGGATTTGAACGACGAGGGGGCAAGGATTTTAATGTGTCACACGCTGAGGACGCGAAATCCGAGTAAGTTATCAATTTAATACATTTCGACCAACTGAACATATTGCTTTACGTATGCAAATTTTTACAGATGCCGTTTTAATCGACAATGGAGAAAGTGACTTTCACGGATATAGAACCTATCTAATCCTTATCCTCGCCTTGTTTGGATTCCTTCTCGTCGACTTTGTACGATTTGATCCCTCCAACGACGACGACATGGCTGGATTCTTTGCCAGTTACTATAATTTTGTTCTCTGATTCATTCCAATCTTAGTTCTTTCACTACATAACGCCAAATCTGACGGATATTTCCAAACAGTCGTATTAATTGAGCAACTATGAATGTACGAATTACAATACCAAATAAATAATATACGGGATCAAATAGGTAGCTAGCTAAATACATAGGTTAAGTTTGAAAATAATTTTGTTTATCGCTCCCATTATTCATTGTTTATAAGAATTTTGTTACGAAATAAATCTAGAAAATTGTTCGAATTTGGTATAAAATAGGTAAAATATTATGTAACTTATTGCTACTTTTTTTCCGGAGAACGAATCCAGGGGCAGCAACACCATCCGAAGGGAATTCATCGGGTCGAATGATTTTAATAGCTATCCATAAGGCATCATTAGTCCGGACAAGAACTAGGAAACGCAATTTGGCAAGTGAAAGCGGTAGGAAAGTCACGTCTGGATAAAACCAGGTTTTTGTTGTTACACTCATTTTCTCGTCCAAAACCAGAAAACCAGGACGGAAATTTATTTCTTTTGCAAAAAGAAGGCATCATTAAAATTCGCCGCTATTCTATTGCTTCGTCAATACTCATTAAATTAAACGATTCAATCCTTGGAGAAAGGTTAGGTAGCATTTCTGTAAAATAGAGCGAGTAATGGTGTATGTGTGGGTATAATAAAGTATAAAACTGCACCCACTGCCCTCATTTTCAGAAAGTCGTCATTATTATCCAATCCATCCACAATCCGATCCAAATTCTCAAAAGAACTGATGAATGAATGAAGAAAGTAAAATCTCCCAATTACGGGGAAAAGTTTTAGGACCCCGTTCAGCTCATTCGACTACTTTTGTTCGGCACAATTTCTCTCTCTTTTAAATCTGAATTTTCTCCTGAGTTTTGGGATCCATGCATGCATCGCAAAATACTTCGGCTAGGACGTGCCACTTGTCACCACAAATTTTAATATTTGAATTTGTTTCCTGCACAGGTCAAGACCCCGGGTTCTTAAAATGTCCAGAAATGCGGTCAGTGGCAGCGGAAGCTTGGGGGCAGATAGAGGGACAATGTCCCCAGGGTTATTCGATGTCTCCATCATCTCCCCATGTTATATAAACCCCTCCCTCCCATATCCTACAATGTTAATGTCCCCAGATGTCCCCACGGCCACTGAATGCAATGCAAAATTTTTTAACAATTCCCCAAATTGTGACCAGTACACCAGTGGACCTCTGGAACGTATGCATAACTTTCACATTTATGCAAAATTCCCACCTATAATCCTCGACGAAATCGTACACCTCCATATTTACATAACTCTTCCATAAGCTCTCTCCCTAAAATTCAATACCTTTCAAACTTGCATGATTTTATTACTTAAATTGACGCATTTAGACTTCAGAGCTTTCTCCGTATTTCATTTCACAATTCAGCCATTTCACTCTTCTGATCTCCCTTTCCTTCGTTACTAACGCTGAACGGCTTCATTTCATTTCATTTCATGCCTCCGTCCGCCTCCAGCACCAAGGTTTTCACTCACTCACTCACAATAATAAGTATCAATTTCCAAGAGAAAGTAAGTGAAAGCAGGGTAAAGCAAAGCAACCTCCAATTCAATGGAAATTAATCTCCCTGCAAAAGAGAGGTTCACTTCACTCACTTTACATTCGCCTGGCCTGACAAATAAGTCAATATCTGACTGACATCCATCCATCCATCTATACGGGCACATTTTAGTATTGATTTTCACATCACAACGTGATTTCTGTCCGTTCTCTCTCCACAACTTTCCCAACTTTCTCTAACAAGGAAGAACAAGAACAGAACAGAGGCAGCAAGTTTAGATAAAAAAAAAGCAGCAGCAGCAGAACAGCGACGACCAACTAACCTTCCCATGCACCGAATTTGGCACAGACAGGGTCCGAGGGAAAGTTGGGTTTTACCAGAACAGCAGGTCTTGTTCCGTGTGGACTGGAGAAAACCTGGAAATTGGGACTTGGCCAACTTTCTCTCTCCGTCCACGGAATTTGTCTGCCACCGGAGAAAGTAAAGCATAGGAGTCGAGACGAGAGGTTGGTGGTGGTTTCAAGGCAGTTGTGACTCAGCAGAGAGACAGACAAGGTGTGGATTTTTAGTATGACCACATGAACTATAGTCGACGTGGTTGGTTTTTGTGGTTTGGTTTTTGGACTTTGTGAGTGGAGGAAGATTGGAATAATGGATGGACGAGAGAGTCCAGTCATAAACAGGTGATCATCATCATTGAACGAATGGGTGGAAAAGTAACAGAACAGAATTGAATTGAATGTGTGCGTAAAAAGGAGAAAAGTGTTTTCTGGTGATAAAAGGGGACGAAATTAGATTTTTTATTTTTACCAGGAGGAGTGGTGCTAAAATATCTGCTACGAGTAAAAGCAAGCCAGGTGTGCAGGTAGAGGCAGCTGATATAAAATAAAACGGAAATTTAATATCCGTCAATTAACATCAATTTTTGTGTTATCAAGTGGTGTTGTGCGGGTAAGTGTTTTGCTACTTGATTCTTCATATTGATATTACAGGCTGGTTGGTGATGATTCATCACTGATGAATGATATCGTATGTCGGTCATCTATATGTGTCCGATGGTGGGTGGAAGGACAGACTAATTTTTGGAGAAAAAGTGAAAGCTGCTAAGTTTTACGCCGTATTTAATTTTTTTTAGAAAATTGAATTAACTTCGTATTCAAATAGATGCACTTCCATACATCGATATAAAAATTAAATGGCTTGACTCATTTAATTTAGTCAACGATATATCCACATAAATTTATAGATTGAGTTATAATGTTGAACATATTTTGTTAAAGCTGTGTGGTTTTGACTGACACGTAATATTTGCAATGGGCGATTACGCTTATCTTTTTAGACGAATATATGTACATATTGTTGGTAGACTGAAATTTTCGGCTTTCCAGCGATTTTTTGTATGTGTCACACACGATGACACGATTCCACCGATAACGATGATGTGTCATATCCCGTTGATGATACCGCAAAAGTTCTGTACTTTTTACATATATGTTAACCGTTGAGTACAAGATTATACATTTGTGTCAGTCATACTCAATCAAATCCATACTTTTGGAAATTAATAATGCAAAATAACTGGACCAGACCTACATCCATACCAGACATTGCTCTCATTCATTAATTAACTGTCAGGTTAATTACTGCATCTATCCATCCATATCGATTTCCCACCTAAAGTGACATTATTTAAGCCGACAAAATCCTAAATAAATGAATCAATTTTGAACCGCTTTAATGGAAACTCACTCACGAACAGCAACAAAGCACTTTACTCCAAAATTGGCAATTATCCCCACACTTTGCTCCTATTTAGATAAGCCTTTTGTTGATCCAAGCATTAAGTACTTTTTAGCTACATTCATATGTGTGTGTACATACCCTATGATATGCAAATATTTGCTTATTTACGGCACCACTTTATACTCCTTTTTAATGCCCCCATTTTATTTACAAGACTTGGAAAAGTTCCCAAATTACGAAAATTACCAAACAAAAAAGACTAATTAATATTTGACGAGTTTCCTCTCCAGAAAAATTCTGAATTCCTTTGAATTTTTCTTTTTGCATAATGGCCCAAAACTTATTAGGCAAAGAGAACTCTTCTCAAGTCTTCTTGTTAATCATGCATAGCATAACTGGAGGATAAGTGAAGGTTGATTTAGCTGAAGCAGTACGACAGATTATCAGCCTTGAATACATTACAGCCCTCATATCTCTCTCTCTTGGAGCTTTCTCTCTCTGAAGAAAATTTAGATTAAGAAAGTTTGTTCGTGCGAAAGGCGTAAGCAAAGAAATTATTCAGGCAAGCATATCAAAACTGAGTTGACACTTTCTATTTGCGTCCTGTCAGAAAAAGCCCTCTCGGACAAAACTGTGTGTGTGTGTGTATGCCGTCAGGATAAAGTTTTACTTGTAAAGAAGGATGAATGTTTTAGCTTAAATAAAATCCTGTAGAATGAGAACAGAACACACCCACCGAGCCACCCACCCAGCCAGCCAACAACCCGCTCCATCCTGCAAAGTGAAGTCTGCTCTCGTTAAAAAAAATCTCTCCAGTTTCAAACCTTTCTTTCTTTCTCGGTCCTATTTTCCTTTTTTAGGAGAGGTGTTGTTCCCCGAATTTGTGAGAGGACGAATTTTTTTTTTACAAATTGGAAACTCTCCTAGCTCAGTGGCCGCGGAAGCGTGAGTGGGGGCAGAGGGACAATGTGCCAAAGGTTATTCGATGTCCGCATCATCGCCAATGTTATATAAACCCCTCCCTCCCCCATCCTACATGCTAATGTCCCCACAGCTTCCGCGGCCACTGATTACTTACGAGTATAACATACTTTTACGCAGTGGCCACGGAAGCGTGGGTGCGGACAGAGGGACAATGTCCCATACGGCTGTTCGATGTCCCCATCATCTGCCCGTCTTAAATAAACCCCCCCTCTTATCCTACAATGACAATGTCCCAGATGTCCCCACAGCTTCCGCGGCCACTGATTACACGAGTTTAACGTACTCTTTAACAGTGACCGCGGAAGCGTGGGTGCGGACAGAGGGACAATGTCCCCACAGTTATTCGATGTCCACATCATCTCTCCATCTTATATAAACCCCTCCCTCCCTCATCCTACTATGTCCCCCCCTTCCGCGGCCACTGTCTCTCTCCCTATGTTTATTATGTCTGCAAAAAATTTCTTTGTACTCCGGATCGTGAGAACTCTCCCAGTTGCAAGCTCTCCTAACACAAACAACACAACGTGTACTTTCATTTCATCAGGTTTCTACATCATCATTTAGTTTATAGAAGAGAAGAAGAAGAACCAGACACTAAATCAATTTCGAATTCCACTCCCTCTTCCATTAATTTGGTGTGCGCGTTTTTTTTTAGCCAGAGCTAAAGTGAAGTTGCAATTATCTTACGTCTTTCTTTCTTTGTGTGTTTGTTACAGGAGGCGAGGGCGAAATCTGAGCTGCACCTTTTTCCGAGGAGGAGAAAAGCAGTATTACCTAACGTAACGTTACTACAAGAGTGAACATTAAAAGAGCGATAAATCATTCTCCTTTCGTGGAAAAGAACCTCAAAACTTGAAAGAAGAGGCGGATGAGAGAAAATATAAGGCACTTTCTTTCACCAGTTCGAAACTAACATAACATTTTAACAAAAAAATACTCCCGAGTTCGCTCCCATCATCGTCGTCGTCGTCATCGTCATCATCATAAGAGATCTGAGAAGACACAAAAAGAATACCAGTCGTCCGTCGAGGTCCTTAAGAGAAAGAGCAGACAACGTATCATCACAGAAGACCAACCTCGCTCGGATTAAAACGGTGACCCATCCAGTCAAGCATCTCAAGCAAGAAGCAAGGAAGGAATGGTATCAAATATCACGTAGAATATAGCTTATTGCTACATCGGTCGGTCGGTGGTTTGGTTTCGTCGGTGGCATATCCTAAATTCTGGACATCACATTCTATCCATCCGAGAAAGTGGATTGGATTCAGGTCACGCTCGACCCACAGCACAGTCAGCAAAGTGGAGTTCTTCGCATAGCATAACGGAACGTTGCTGCTGAGGTTCAATGTTCAAGATTTATTAGCATCATCATCATCATCTCGTCATCATTGTACGTACGTCTACAAATTCCTTCCCCAGATTCCGCACACGATATTGAAAACATATTGAAGCAAATTGAGGTTGTGTTTTGAATCGGAAACTTTATAAGTTGCAAATTAATCCATAATCTACCTATTTAAGTAAATATAATATATTCATATCAGCGGCAGCAGGATCACTCGGAATTTGCATCTTGTTGGTCTCTTGTTGGAGAAGGAAAGCAATTTCACAGTGTTTGTCTTGGTGTCACTCAAATTGAGATTTGATCCCAATCCAAGATTATTCGTATCCTGTGGTGAACTTGGAAACTTTGCGAGAAGACCAACAACGGCAAGAAGAACCACAGCACCACCGAGCGAAACGACGACTTTGAAGTTTAACTTTATTTTATCGTGATTTGTGGCCATTCCGTCCGGCCAAAAAGGATCGGAACGTGAGATAAAACGCCTTGTTGTTTCGCCAAAACCTTCTTATCGCCAAGCCAAGAAGACCAACAAACAACCCCACTCATTACTCAACATTACCAAATTTTCCCGTCTACACATTAAGGAAGAAGATCGCTTTACTGCTCTTTGGGGAAAGTGAATAATTTAGTGATCAAAGACAACAACAACCAAACCACCACGAATAGCACCCTTTTTCCGGAGAAATCAAGCAAAAAGGAGTAGAAAGGAAGACAATCGTTCTAAATAAGTCAGAAAAAAGTCTCTTGGGACTGATCCAACCGTTTTACTTTGTACGAAACCTATCTATCTATACCCGCGTACTTTCATTCATTCTTCTCTCGTATCTATCAGTCACAGACGCACACAAGTTCAAAACCAATCCTGATTAAAGAATCCTGTCTGACGGACAATTGGTTCTTTCTCAGTTGACTTGCAATCAATCAAGACATATATTTTTTCACTGGAAACTTCTACTTCTTTTCCAAAGCCGACTCTCGGTGCGGTTGGTTGATAAGCTTTAAGCTCTTGACTTCCAAATAATAATAAGAATACATACTGGTCACCGACTTGGCTTATACGCATCGCCAGTCGTCGTCCTCGTCGTCGTTTGGCTTTTCTCTCTCTCTCTTCGCCAGAAGGCTGTTACACCCACGCGTATTAGAAACTCTGGACTCCTGAGTGGCTTGGCTTGGCTTCGAGTGGGAGTTGTATACACAGAAAGAAAGATCGACTTCTAGCTGGATCTGGTTCTACTTTTACCTACATCCCACATTTGTACTTTAGAAAGCTTCTCTCGAATCGTGGCGTCGTCGTCATCGTCATTGTGCGAGATTCCTTACAACATCTAAAGAAGAAGTATCATCATAAAAAAAAGTAGTCGACTCAATTTGTAAAATGGGCGATTTGGAAATTTCTATTGGAGACGAGCCCACCGGGGCGGTGAAATGGTCGGAGATGGATCTCACCAATTTGGACCTTAATACGTGGAACTATATCAACCGGAATTTTGACTCGAGCCCGTTCCCCATCGATCCCGTAATTAACAGCAGAATCGCATTGTGGTAAGTGAAGAATCGGCATGTTTGTCTTATCTCTTTTCTCTCTCTCTGGTAGCTCTAAATATGTATGTGGGCTAAATTAAGTCGAGGTTATATACGAGTTGTTGCTGCTCGTGTTGGTTTGGGGGACGAAAATATGGTATTGATTTCGATTAAGGTAAGAAAAGGAAGGCACCACAAGACTCGCTTGTTCGTTTCGTTCTTTCTTCGTGACATTTGCACTTTGTAAGCTTGTAAAAGTCGGTCGTTTCTTCTTTCGACGAGGTGAGAGTGAGACCGACCGGTGTGGAAAATAAGCTTGACGAGCACGCCAAAAATTGAATTATTAATATTAAGGAATCAACCGTCATCATCATCATTGTGTGTCATGTTAACCAGTGACTGCGGAAGGGGCGTGGGGACATTAACATTTAGGATGAGGGGTTTGTATAAGATGCGGACATCGAACAACCGTGGGGACATTGTCTCTCTGTCCACACACTTCCGCGGCCACTGGATCATTTTATACGTTTGAGTAGCCTGAATTCTCCCAGTGGCCGCGGAAGCCCTGGGGACATTAACATTGTAGGATGGGGGAAAGGGGAGGTTTATATAAGATGGACAGATGGTGCGGACATCGAACAACCGTTGGGACATTGTCCCTCTGTCCCCATGCACGCTTCCGCGGCCACTGCTGCTGTTAAAGGTCTTATTCGAGAGCGTCCTTCGACGTTACCTATAATATTACTTATTACACTATTTTGATGATCTCTGCCTGCTGGAGAGAGGAGCTTAGTTCGTGTAGAAGAGCACTCTACTTACTTTGTGCTATAAGCTGCCACAATTTCCCATCATATTAAATAAGAGGTCCTTCAGCACGGGTTGTAATTGTAGGAATTAAAATTTTATAGAGTTTTACTTAGTTCCACTCCAACAGAGATTCGTTATATAAAGTGATGCTTATATGCACACATGCAGAATATTCTAGAATATTCGTGGTTTCGAATCTCCAAAGAGAGTACAAAGGGAACCCTCGAGGGACATTTTGACCCAAAATGTCAAACGAAAACTGGGGAGAATGCCATCCATCCGCAAAACTGAATATACAGTAAATAAGTACATCCATGTATGTCAGACAGTGGCCGCGGAAGCGGTGGGGACATTCACATTGTAGGATGGGGAGGGAGGGACGGGTTTATATAACGTGGGGAGATGATGCGGACATCGAACAACCGTGGGGACATTGTCCCTCTGTCCGCGGCCACTGATGTTCAGAGGATGATGCGCTTTCACCAGCAGCGACAACAACAACCACTACACTCCGTATGTATGTACTTATTTGTACATACATGTTTACTTGCAGAGTAAATAGTGACACATCACTACATACAATTGTGAAGAAGAAGCTTGTCCTACTTAAAATACTCAAGGGTTCATCTGGCCCTGCACGATAAGTGCGACACACAGACACAATTCCCTGGATGATTACACACACTCAGGACAGTAAATAAAATCTCAAAGTCGGAAATGTCGGACTGACTACACAATAGTATGAAATTATTCTGCCCGTGCACATCTCTGCAGTGGCCGCGGAGGGACAGAGGGACAATGTCCCCACGGTTGTTCGATGTCCGCATCATCTCCCCATCTTATATGAACCCGGCCCTCCCCACATCCTAAAATGTTAATGTCCCCACGGCTTCCGCGGCCACTGCACCTCTGGCACTGAGGACTTTCTAGGAAATTCCATCCCAGCCGTAATAAGATAATAATGTAATGTATGTAGAAAAGTAGATGCGGATAGAATTTAATTTTGCATAATCGCCCCATACGAGAAATATATGTGAGCTTAGCACTTACTTAACAAAACAAAACATGCTTTCTCTCTCCGCGTCTGCCAGCAAAGCAACGGAGCAGAAACGCGCAAAATAAGTATCTCCACTCTTTCCGGTTCCGTGATCTTTCTTGCGTCGTATTTATGAAGCAATAACTCACTGTAACAATTATGTGATGGTATTATTGCCTCCCCATGTTCATGTTCCCTTCCTTGTTCCAGGTTTGGCGACATCCTGTCCTTAACGGTCGATGGACTCGCCACGACGACGAATGAGTCTTTGGATGAAATCCAAGAGTCCATACTTTTCCGGACGGGAAGCAATTATCCACAAGAAATTAGGAATGAGATAAAATCTATACGAACTGGCGAGGCACGTGTGGTCTCTGGACATCCGAATCTTCCTTGTCGCAACCTTCTGCTCACGGGTAAATGTTTACTAATTTTAAGCATAATCTTTGATGCTTATATCTACTTCTAGATGATGGATTTAACAAATAATAACAATTTTTTATCCGCAGTGACTCCGAGATTTTCTGAAAAGTATAAAACCGCAGCGGAAACGGCGCTTTACAGTTGTTACAGTAGTGTTCTTGAGGTAAAAAAATTGACCCTGGACTAAATTTTGGTACTGATTTTTTTCATTGATCATCACAGAAAGTTAGTGAGAAGCGTATGGAAACGGTAGCAATACCTCCGCTACATCTCGGAGGCAAGACAAACTTTCCGGACGAGTTGGGTGTCCACGTGGCGATCAGAACGGTGCGGAGATTCCTCGAAAAGGGACACTCTTATCCGAGACTTATCGTTCTTTGCGTTCCTGATCCGAAATTATTCAGGTGAGACGAACACGAACATGCACCATTTGCATAGTTTATTACTTACAATAGCACGAAATCTCACTCAACTATGAACCATTTTAGTAGTTACACATTCTAGAATTACATATTCTAGATACAATAGTACGAGATTCACAGATTAACATAAAACTGAAAAACTTTTCTACGCAACTACACCACATTTACACTAAAATCTAATAACCCTCTTACTATGTATGCTCCATATACTACAAAATTATCAGGAATGAGTATTTGTATGTATCTACTACTCATTGAATACTGCTCTGGATTTAGCCTGATTTTTATTTATGGTCAAAAGCATACATATGTAAATATTTAATAATTGAATACTTTTTTTATTCAGTGAAGGCCAAACCAAATGATTTCACAAATTTCTCATGCATCAACCAACATTGATAAGTATACAAATATACATGTGTCATGACACATGATGACAATGGATGGGTTGTTGCCGAGCTGATATTTTTTAGTGACGCAAAGACCCAACTAAAAAAATGCAATTAGGCAAATAATAGCCCAGCAAATGTGTTAATATTTGAGTCACCGTAAATTATTATCAACCTTTCCGTGTATTGGGTACGCAACAGCGTGGGGAATACATACACATTACAAGTTTAGTACATACATATTTACATGCATATACCAGAAGTGGGATAGATACAAATTATTATGATGCATACAGTGAACAATTTTCTTGTAAAAGTTGATATTTATTTTTAAACGGGAGACAAAGCGTTGCTGATAAGCATTTGCTCCCAAGCACTTCTGTCTTATCTCATTATTTATTACGTCAAACGCCACGAATATCGAAACAGTTCGTCACTTTGGTAGGATTTCACTCCTTTTAAAAAACAATATTCAACTTTGGAATTGAACTGCGTAATAAAGGAAGGATTGTCATGTCATCAGTATTCCTATCTCAAGTCTGTCGTTTAATCGTATAACTTGAATTATTCTGTTTTTTCACAGCCTTTATTTGTCATTTATGGTCTGTCACTTTCCACGCGAACCAGGTAAGCGAGCGAGTTGTCACACTTGTTAATAATTAAGAATTGTAGCAATCACTGACCGCGGAATCGTGGGGACAGAGGGAAAATATCTCCACGGTTATTTGTTGTCCCCATCATCTCTCTGTTATATAAACCCCTTCCTTACAATGTTAATGTCCCCAGATGTCCCCACGCCTTCCGCGGCCACTGGTAGCAATAATAAATAAATTTGTTTGTAAATAAATCCAATTATAAAATTAAGCATTTTGTTTACACAGCCCACGAGGAGTACGCTTGTGTTCGGCTTCCAACTCAAATTGGTGATGAGGAAGGAGCTGCTTGGCTTCCTGATCGGAAAATTCGAATTTTCGCCAACCCTGCAGAGCATCCCGAACGTAACGAGGAGGACGATTTGGGAGTCGGCATCATGGAACAACTCAACCGAGATTTTGTTCAGATGAAGGAGGACATTGACAAAGAACGCTTGATCACGGATGGGAGAAAAAGACGAAGTTTTTCCAGTCTCTCTGAACCAGAGAGAAATATTGCTATTGAGATTGAAACTAAAGAAAGGTAACAAAAAAATACTTATTGTTAGTCATGCAGAAACTTCCGGAATTAAGTTTGGGGGAAGCCTGGGGGAAAGAGTGTCTTTGGGGGAAGACATTTCCGGGAACATTAGAAAGGTTCTGGAAATATTCAAAATTTTGTATTTGCATACCCTAATAATTTTTCGGGAAGATTTTGCACGAACATTTCAAAACGCTAATAAAATGGTAACTTTTCGGTACTTTAATTTCCCTCCAGACAAGAACGTATCCTCCGACGTGCACGAACGGAAGACTTGTCGTCAATCGAGAAAACGGGATGCCTGGTAAATTTTACGTTTATTGCATCAAACGCTCATACATATACTGGCCATAGGTATTAAATCAATTTGTTTTGATCCATTTAGTACCGAAGTGGCCAAGACCGATGCGGGTGAGTGTACATACATATACAAAATTTAAAAAATACTACTCCCATTTAAAAGCCCTCTATAAATTTCGTTTTCACTTTGTTCTAGTCGTCAAATCGTGGTGGTTGTCGGGAAATGGTTTCGCCCAGAGGCGATGGATCTGGATAAAACATTTCTCTACTTGGTCCGACTCCTTGATGATATCGACGGTCCGTATTGTGTCGTTTACTTCCATGCAGCTACAGGAACGGAGAATAGGCCTGGTTTAAAATGGATGAGAGCCGTCTACGATAACCTAGAGTATCGATTCAAGAAAAATCTCAAAGCTCTTTATATCATCCATCCCACCATGTGGACCAAGGTAGAGAACTTAATATATATTTATTTAAGCGGAGATATACCTTCTTGCGTGGTCCACAACTTGAAATGGAGGTTTCCCAGCGTATGCTCTCCGATTTTGAGCAAATTAGTGTCAATCGATCACAAACTTAGTTAGTATTAAATTTGTGAAAGACACGATCTCCCAATGGGCACGTTTGGCAGAGATATTTGCATCCGAAGAGGAGAAAGCGCGCAGTAAAGTCGACAAATTTTACACTTTCCAAACTTACTGCACGTTTTCTCCTCTTCGGATGCAATTATCTCTGCCAAACGTGCCCATTGTGAGATTCTGTCTTTCGCAAATTCCATCCCAACTAAATTTGTCATCGATTTCCATTAATTTGCTCAAAATCGGATCGCATTCCTTGGGAGACCTCCATTCTTAGTTGCTCGCATGTGGACCAAGGTAGATATGTACATACATATGAGTTCCTTTTGCTTGCTGCGTTCGTGCCAAAACTGGTGATTGCCTTCATTAACAATTCTTGACCATGATCGATATGCCCTGGTTTTAGACTCTACGGTATTTCTGTAACATTTCATTGTGAAAGTCAAGTCTGCGAGGTGCCTATTCTTCTCAAACTGTAGCATAAACATTAGTGCTAAAGTCTTTCGAAATTTATGTTCCCTCCGCTCCCATTGTGGGACGTGGACTGCGAGTCTAATAAGGAAAGTTGGACGTGGAAGTGAAAATTGGAATTCAGTTTTATGAATAAATTATCATACTTTCTTCTCTCCTGCTCCATCCATAACCCAGTCCGTACGTAGCATTTACCACCCAGTACATATTACAATTATGACCCGGTAACAGTGCCAAATAATAAACTTGATATTAGAGAAAGTTTTCGAAATGAGAAAGCACTTTGGTTATGTTTTATGCAGCAATAATAAGTGGTTCGGTTCACTGATTGGAATTTGTTCTGGCGAAGGAAATATACTGAGCAACAAGGTTGGCTTGGCATTTCGGTGCAGTGGCCGCGGAAGTGTGGATGGGGACAGGGGGACAATGTCCCCACGGTTGTGAGATGCCCGCATAATCTGCCCATCTTATATAAACCCCTCCCTCCCCCATCCTACAATGTTAATGTCCCCACGGCTTCCGCGGCCACTGATAAGCTAGGTATGTTCATTCCTATGAGGTTACCTAAAAATTCTCAGCATTTCGTGTCAAGTTCGTTCCTTCTTTCTCTTTTACCTTGCGTGATAGAATTACATTACAGAAATCAATTCCTTTGATAACCGACATGCATTTCCTCTTATCGCTCACCTTACCTTACTTCTTTCCCATTCCATACATATTCACATAAAAACAGAAATAGCCAGCCAACTAACCCAAAAAGAGAAAAGTCATTCGGAAAATTCACTCGGAATGCCCATTCTAAACGATATGACGTTATTTATCCGTTTTATGACGGTAATAAGAAAATTGACATGATCCAATAAGACATTGCAAATTATTATTAGCTTATTTTACGTAATGCTAGGTAGCCAATTCCCATTTGCTAATTGATCAACCAACATGCCTCATTTACATATCTACCTTTCCAAGGAAAACAATTAGCAAAATATGTATATTTATAAACGTTTTTCTCTCCCTTTTTGCAGGTCATGTGCTGGTGGTTCCTTACCTTTCTGGCGCCCAACATCAAGCAGAAATTACTCAATGTACCGGGCTTATCCGAACTTTACGCGGCTGTTGAACCCAATCAGATTAAAATCCCGGCTTACATCTCAGAACATGATATCACCCTGCATGGTTTTGGAGCCATTGCGTATTCCCACACCCACTCGGGAGCCTCCACTCCGGTCAAATAACGAAGCAGAAATCTCTAGTAAAGAAGAGAAGAATTCCAAAAAAAAGATAAGATGTTATCCAAACGGTGCTATATTTTACGACGAAAAATATGAAAAAAAGAGAGGGTGTTACTTATTATTAGACAAATGTAGATTATACACTATACACACATCTCAAATCAAATCTGGAAGCTGGGCTTGAAACAAAATAATAAAATATCTTTTACTCTGGAACTAATAAAAACGGGCTATGAAGAATAAGAAGGATATAATTTTCTGAAAAATTTCGACAGAAATGTATTCAACAAACCTTTATTGTTCTTTGATCGTTGCCAAATCCTAGTCCAAAGTATAACAATTAATAGTAATAATTAGATTAATGTGTGTGTACCATGAAAGTAATTAGTACATGCGAATGATGACTTTTGCAACGTGCACCTTAATATGAGTGAGTTTTACTGTGAGAAAAAATGAATATAGGTAAAAATTATGTCATATTTAGTGAAAATTTATGCGTTGATTGCTAAATGCAGGCATCGAATGTACCTTAGAAGAAAGTAAATATTTGTGATTTGAACCCACCTCTGGACTGGTGAAAAAATTGAATAATGAGAGAAAATGTATAATACAAGTGTGCTTTGATTTTGTAATTGCAGTATTAGTACCAAATTCATTTAATTTAGGATGTAGTAAATATGTACCAGCGTATACCTTACCCTAGAAAAAGTGCAGTTTAATATGCATGAAATAATAAGTGAAAAAGTGTGTATTCTAACTAACTAAATAATTTTGAAAGACAGGAGGATTAGTTGTAGATAAATTAGTAAACCTTTACTAATTAGTAAAATCGGTAGTTATCTATTATATAACTAATCACGATAAACTAATATCCGCGAGACTATAATTTTCTAATAGCTTAACTTTATTTCGCATTTCTGAAATGATTCTTGCAGTATTTGATAACCAATAATTTTTCATTCATATTTACATTTAATTTGTATGATTTTCTTTAATCACATACATAACAAGTTATGAAACAATTAATAAATTCAAACCAAAAAGTGATACATACATGATTTTTGTTTCGTTTTTTTATTTATTTACTTATATTTTTTATAACTACGAGTTTCACAAAATGTTCTTCCACGTGGATATTAATCTTAATTGATTATCGTGTAAGGTATCTAGCTATGCCAAATTTTGAAACTATAATACCAATCTAAATCAAAATATCACGTTCAAATGCAATTAAACATTCAAATAGCAATACAATCAACGTTGAAATTTGGTTAGCTAAAATTGGAAACCTCTCGTACTCTGTCAAACCTACTGTTGAAATAATATTAATAGTCTCAAAAAAATCTGAAATGTTTCCTGACAGATTATCAGATTCTCTGTATTATTTTCAAAAACCAAATAACCTCTCAGAAAATTTTCCAAGGAATTGACCCCATTAATATTGATTAAATCCAGAAATTTCCCCCTGAACCCCATGCACGCAATGATTAAATTAAACTGCTCACATATGAACAACGACTTAAATTATCATAAATTATATTAAACCCTCGCGTATTTAATAAAATTATGTTATACAAATAATCCTATAAGGTAAACTAATAATATACCGGAAATACTTATATATGCAAAGTGAACACAATCATGTAACACGGGGATGAGATAAAAATGACAGGTATCTAACTAAACTAGCAAAAAAAGCAGGTGCGTTGCCTTAATTCAAACATAAAAAAATTAATGACACAAAACTATAATACAGAAATAAATAAATAATGACAACAACTTTGCATAAAGTTGAAAATCAATCATGTTTTAAAACTTTCTTGAATCTACTATCAAAAAATTAGTGACAAAAAAGTGGTTCGATATCAATTGAAAAAATTGTAATTCTTGTGCGTCGAAATATTATTTTACGAAATTTCATGTAAATGACCGCATAACTTTCACTCTCGTTAATCAGCCCTTTCTTCTTCTTGTCCTTCACACAAATTAATGTGCGGGTTACACACCAATTAAATAATTAATTAATATTAATTAAGTCTACATTGTTACATAGTAGAGATGAAAAAAATAGTAAATACCTGTTATATAAATCTTAAATAATGTAGTTATTAGCATGACAAAATCATCAATTGTTGTTCTTGTCAGAGATCGTCATTCACTAAACATTCGTCGTTACTAACCTCGCCCAGTGTATGTATTTATGCAATACATAAACTATTTAGTGTCAACGTCACAGTGGCCACGGAAGCGTGGGGACAAAAGAGGGACAATGTCCCCACGGTTGTTCGATGTCCGCATCATTTGTTCATGTTATATAAACCCCTCCCTCCCCTAACCTACAAAGTTAATGTCCCCAGATGTCCCCACAGCTTCTGCGGCCACTGCGAATAAATAATCATAAATCAGACGTCAAAGAAAATTTATTTATCTTTTATTCCTGCTAATGGATAATCAATCAGTTGGATTTTTTGGTGATACCACCACCAAACCAACGATACCTAAATTATTGTCTAAAATATTATACATATTATTAACCAGGAATATAAAATAAAAAAAGTTAACGTGTGCAAAATGTTGTTGTGTAACTTGCAAATTTATAACCGCATCCAGGAACGCATGAGATGTCAGCAGATTTAGCATTTAGCAAGAAAAACTTGTCGTTGCAAGTGGAATTTGCATGACTGCAAGAGATGAAAAGTTGAAGGTGCAGTAATACATCTGATCTTTAATCGTGACATCAAAAATATCCATCAAAACGAACTAAAAGTGGATGAATAGGTATAATTTTCTAAATTTTTGCACGTATCTACATACAAAACATATTATTCAATATTTTCTAACCACAAAAAATTATTGCTAACTGGCCAAATTATTATTTCTATTACGATATAATAATTGAGCATTATGCATGTTGTTACTTGTACTTTGGTTGAGTCAAGTTCATATTAACTGCACGACCTTGCCAAAAAGTGGATAAACGGCTCCAGAATTGCTTTCTTATGCAATTTATTCCACGCCCGTAGTGGAAGGATAAAAATTCAGAAATCCGTTTCATCTGAGTAATAATACAACACCCTCAATTTTAGGTGGTTGCAGAAAATAGTAAACGTGCACGTTTGTCTAAAAGTTGTCCATAGCATGAAAAAATTACCCAAGTTCTACACGTACAGATTTCGTTTAGTCAAAATATTTCTGTTTTTCTCATAACCAGAACTTAATCCATGGATTCGCAGTAAAAATCAGCATCCATCTGTCGACCTCATGATGATTCGATTATAATGTGACCGGTTTGATGCACTAATTTCATGTATACCTATCGTTGTAGCAAAATTGGCACCAAATTTTTACTGCACACCGTGAATATCTACGTCATCGATCTCCGTCTACATAATTTCACTACTAATTGTGCAAAAGTACAAGAATTTTCAGCTAACATAAAACTACTCTAAAATACATAACCATCATTGCATCTCTGACGGACTGGCTGTACATGCATATATAAAGCAACTACACATCCAGAAGATTTTAATTTTTGTAAGGGTTCGCAAAGTGGCGGGTCGCAAATTTTCACCGGTTGCATTTCATTAATTGGGCACATGGCTAGTTTCATTGTGATATTTACATAATTAATCCACCCCATGCATGGACTCGCAGTAAAAATCACAATGCATCTGTCGACCTCATGATCCGATTAATGTGACCGGTTTGTTGGACTAATTTCATGTACATTGTATAGTAAAATTGGCACCAAATTTTTACACCAGGGCTAGCCTACTACCCACCTAGCATAAATACGTCATCTCCCTCTAATTCCATTACTAATCGTACAAAAATCGTACTGATTAAATTTTCATCTGACATAAAAATACACAAAAATCTACATAAAATCTACTTTACAAACAACCTCGCGTAAATAAATGTAACGCTTCACGCGATTCTAGCGTGATCCATAAAAGCGAGCAAGGTGTCACGCTTAATAAAACCGTCCCCAACGGACAAAGTACATACATATTCTTTTATTGAAAGAAAAAAATGTGCAACATCTTAAAACAGTGTTGATGTCGAACTGTATTTATTTTATGGGTCGTAAACTTCACCCACTAAACCAGCCCAATTCTTTTCTTTCATCTTCCTATTATCCAATCCACTAAAAAGAAGAAAGTTCCAGAATTGAAGAACAGCTAGCAAACAATCATCAATTCTGGACGACCAAAAGCGAGCTAAACAAGCAAACCGGTTTTCTCAATTTGCAATAAATAAACACACCAAGAAGAAATAAAAGTGCGAATAAATGGGTACATGCAATTGAGCCAGGCCAATATAATTATAGGGTTCAACCAGCATTTTCCAATTCCAGGTTTCAATTTTATATTTATTTGGTTGGTGAACAACCAGAGCCAACTGCTTGCCACACCTAATTTAGCAAGCAAAAGCCCAACTCGCTTAATAAATAAATAGCCATGAAAATAATTTTTATCGAATTTCGTGTATCAACAATCAACAATACTACTCATGCAGCACAAGTGGCCGCGGAATGAGTGGGGATAGAGGGGCAATGTCCCCAAGGTTGTTCGATGTCCGAATCATCTGTCCATCTTATATAAACCCCTCCCTCCCCATCCTACATGCAAATGTCCCCCAATGTCCCCACAGCTTCCGCGGCCTCTGTTATTCAGCTAAGCTACAGTGGTTGGCTTACCTCATGGCTCATACTGGGCGTCAGATGCAGATTTACTCCCCGAAAATTGATGGTGGCCTTGAGAACCTAAATATTTGTTGCTTGTGAGTACATATAGCGGTAGTTAATAAGCAAGTTAAGTACCTAAAGTCATGCCTTGCATGATTTTAATGCATAATCTCAATTATTTTATTTTCTTGAAAACTGTGTATTTAGATAAATATTAGTTGTTGAAATTGCGTAAAAGTTTTATTTTAGCCCAATATCTTGGCGTCATGATGAATTACACAACACCAAGTTTTCTTTCATCACGATGCTATTTACTAAAGTCAATGTCAGCATGAGGTTTCACTCCTGAAACTTTGGACGTTTTCACACTTTAATAATTAACAAAACCGGCACGTAGCCCTTTTTTGCGAAGGATAGAAGAGAAAGCAAGTCGAGATCAAACCATGCCGCGTGGTAGCTGGAATGAATACATCCTGGCCGACGGCACAGTCAGAATTCTTAATTATTTCCAGTCCACAACGGAAGGAAAGATGAGAAATTTCCTCCAAATTAAATTAAACCGGATCCCGTACTAAATACGAGATGAGCTTAATTCCAGTGTGGGAGGGAAATTTCAGGGTTTCTGAAATATGAAGACGACAGTTAATTTTTATCGTGTTAATTTCGTAGAGCAGGTGCCACTCAAGATAAGCAAGGACAAGATAAGTGATGGAGTGTCACGTTGCTTGCATGCTTTCTCTCAAATATTGCTCACTTTCTCTGCCAGATGTCCACGGCTGGTTTATCTCTGCAAAACCGAGGACCAACTTTCTCCAGAAAATTCTCCTTACTTGCTTTCTCCTTCTTTCTTCAGCAGTCCAGTGGCCGCGGAAGCCGTGGGGACATCAACATTATAGGATGGGGGAGGGACGGGTTTATATAAGATGGGCAGATGATGCCGACATCCAACAACCGTGGGGACATTGTCCCTCTGTCCGCGGCCACTGTCCAAACCAAGTAAGTCGTCACCCGTATTCACATTTTCACTCAAATTTCTTCTATCTGCGTCGTGCCGTATGGATGAAAAACGTGCTCGCTCGGAAACAAACTATATGCGGCGTCTGCCAAGAAAGAAAGCGGTGGCCGTGCGGTGGTTAATTTCTCTCCAGATGGATGGATGGATGAATGGCTGGCTTGGCTGTCGTATAAAATTGTGGACTCGACTCTCAACAATCCAATCCAATCTACTTACTTACTCTGCACCGACTTGTGTGCCGTGTTGTCAGCAAGAACAACTTTTTACTTTCACTCGACAAACGAAAGGAAGGAGGAAAATGAAGTCAACAAGTTGATTGCTTGAGGCTCATGCTGCTTGCTTTATGGACGAAA